TGTGAAATGCTGCACCTACCCAAGAATGGCTAATAGCAGGGGGAAGAAATGGCCAGACGGGACGGAGGAAAGAAGGAAGACCATTTCAGACAGGGCCAGTGTCCTTCCAAATGTATTTGGGGTGAAAGTGCAAAGTCTGGTGAAAGTGTAAAGTATGCTTCTGTGTAGGAGCCAGAACCCCCCAAAGCCAAGGCCCAGGCCTGGATTCACCCCCACTCCCTGCCCAAGCCCAGGCTGCGGCATTCTCCCATCTGGCCATGAGCAGCCCTGTCCAGCCAGCCCGGCTCACCCGGCATCTCAGCTGCCTGATCTGTGTGTTGTCCTTCCAGACTGATAAGAAAATTTCCACCATCGCTAAGGACTCCAACACCCCATGTTTTTGTCATCCAGGAAAGCATAGGTGCAGGGAAACACAAAGGGAAGGAAATGACCAATTATCAGACCTGCTCTCTCAACCAGCATCCTAGGGAATTTCCAAATGTTATCTCACTTAGTCTTCGCATCATCCTGCCAGGCAAGCGTTACTATCTGTTTGCAGATGAGGACATTGATAGTCAAGGTCACATAGCTCGTAAGTGTCAGAGCGGGTGTTCGAGTTCGGGGCTGTCTGACTCCAGAGGTTGCTCTCTTCCTGCTGCAGCCCGAGCATCACATGGTCTCTCCTCCTTACCCCAAAGGAGCCAGCAACACAAGGGCCATCTGAAACTGGCCAAGACAAGTGGACCTGATTAACATCCCAGCCATATTTTGTCCCCCCCCTCTGTCAATGGGGGACTCTATGTGACTCCACCCTGCCCTCTGACCCTCCCCTCCGTGGGAGGTTAGCTGTCCCCTCCTCTGCAGCCCCACAGCTCCTTCCAGATCTGGAAGGACTTCCCTGGAGTTCTGTAAGCAGGATCTGCCAACTCCTCCAACTGTCCCCTGTATAGAACCATGAGGGAAGGCTAGACTTGGCTCTGGAGAGAACCAACTTTGCAGAATTGTAGCCCTGGGGCCCTGCCATCTAATGCCGCTTTTAAGAGAGAGCTATGGTGGCAGAGTGTCCAAGGGGGACTTGAGACCCTGCAGCTGCCTGCTCTGAGGCCGTGTCCTGCAGGACCCTGCTCAGTCCCTCTCGGAAGAAGAAACCCTTTCCCACCAAGCCTCCCCTCCATTTCCTCCCCCGAATACTTGGTCCTGAGAAGAAATGCAGGAAGTAGGGTGCCTGTCCTTGCTATCCCCGGCCAACACACAGATCCCATCACTCTTAGACTCTTTCTCAGCCACCTGGAAGGCCTCGAGCGGCAGGGGCTGTCTTCTGTAGGATGCCCCGCTCTGCTCCTTTGCACTCTGCACACAGACCTCCACCTTGACCCTCTCTGAGTTTTGAGCTGGGGGAGAATGAATGACATGTCCCAAGGCACAGAGACTTTCAAAGGGCGCTGTGTGTAAAAAAGGCACCACCGGTCTCTGGGCGGGAATGGAGAACGCACTACAGAATGGAACACGTGGCCGAAGAGGTAAAAGAGGTGGGACCTGAAGGACCACAAATGCCGGGCCGGCCTTAGGAATTGGGGACTCGGCCTTGGCAGTGGTTGGAACCATTGAAGGTTTTCAGAGCAAGCGACTAGTAACCTGGTCGTATAGGGGGTGCACAAAGTTCACCCCGGCAGCTATGAGGAAGTGTGGTTTACACGGAGGCCCTTGTGGTTAGTGTGGGGGGAGATCATGGGGCCCTGCTGAACACCTGGAACACACAGACTCAAAAGACACCTGGGAATGACACCCGATAGGGCCTGGTGACCTTCTGTATCATACTTGGTGGGGGAGGGAAAGGGAGCTGTTTGAAGGTGCTTGGGAGATCGCTGGCTGGGCGCACGGAGAGTCTATTAACCTTGAAAGAGAGTGTGGGAGGGCAACCAGGTTGGGGGTGGGAGGAAGAAAAAATTAAGAGTTCATTTTTCGACGTGGTGAAATTTGAGGCTCTTGGGGGACACGCATGTGGAAGCGGAGATGTCCAGTAGCGATTGGATATATGGCTGTGGAGCTCGGGAGAGAGGGCTGAGCCAACAATATAGATTTGGAAGTCATCCGTAATGGAGGCCTTGGGAATCCTCTTGCAAATCAAATAATCACCACCTCATCTGTGTTTTGGAAAGTCAGACTTTTATGCATCAGTTTTGCTTTTTAAGCAAGGGAGCTGGAAGCTACATCTGTTGCAAGCCCCAGAGCATGGTGGTTGCTCAGGTATCTCCCTGAAATCCCGCACCACCTACCCCGGTGCTGGCTGAGTAGAACACAGCATGAATGAAGACCTTCATGAAGACCCGGCCTTCCCCGGGTGCTTCCCGAGCCCTGTGGGCCTGGTTTAATGACCCACGAGGACACTGATTCTCCTGGTTTGGATTCCAGCAGCTGTTAGCCGGAACTACCCATCTCTTTGACTTGTATCTTCACGCCAAGACTATAACACTTGCTAATAATTTACCAAAAAAAAGATCTTCCTTCTCTAAACAGTATGAGCTGACTTATGCATTTGAGCTGCTCTTTGCCAACACAAGGACCCCTGGGCACCCCAGTGCCCGCGACCATGTGTCTGCCACCGACCCCTGAATGTTGGGAGGAAAACACGACAATGACTTAGCAGCAGGGAGAAAGAAGCTACCCCGTGGAAACTGCCAGCGCCACTGAGCATTCACAATGCAGTCCCTGCATGCTACCTGCAAGAAATATTTTTAGGCTTTCCAGAAAGATTTCATTTCACAGCTTTTCTGAAAGGTTGTAATTAACTGCAGCAAGCACAAGAATGTATTTTTTAAAAATAAAAGTGAGGGAAGGCGAGAGAACCAATCACCACTGTTTTGTCAGCTCCTTCAGGTAGGTGGGTTCGTGCCATCCAGGTGGCTGGGGGAGGGGACGGAGGGGCTGGTGAAGCTGGTTCCAAGTTGGATCACAGGAGAACCAGGGGCTAAAACCAAATTCTCCCCCATGATGCTCTCCTGCAGAGGGGCAGAAGGAAGCAGCCCCTTCCCTGTCTCTCATCTCCCAGAGCTCAGGAGTCCCAGGTCCCTGATGGAACTGTGCCAGGGGAGAGTGGAGCAGCCAGAATATGTACTACGGAGGGATATTTTTAGAGCCCAGGGACAGAAGAGCCATTGGGGCTGCCGGTTCCTCATGCCAGCTCTTCCTTCCTCGACTTGTCCTCACTTCCCCCACTCGCACCCCCAAGATGCAGAGACGCCTCTGAGCCACCTTGACCGTCTCCCTTGATTCAGTTCGTGGGTCTTGTTTATTTTTATTCATAAAGGGGGATATTTTATTTCCCAGAAAAGGGAGTCCGAGCCACAGAGAAGGTGACTTGGGTGAGATGAGCCCTGTCCCCCCCGGATGAGAGTGTGCAGGGCTGGCACAGGGGTAAGGAACCCTCTTTTCCCTGCTGGCTCTCACTCCGGGTTCTGAGCCTGGGTTGGTGGCAGGACTCCCGATGCCCACATCGCAAGAAGAGGGCAGCACACCTGCGGGGCAGAGGGGAGGTAGGAAGGGTCTCCGGAGCTTCCCACAGCATTTTCACCTGTACTTATCCATCCTCTCCACCCTCGGGCAGGCTGCCTCTTCCACCCCACCGGACCCTCCGCCAGCACATACGGGGTTAAGAGGGAGACTGTCCAGAAGTGCCCAAGGACACCGAGGCCCAGAGGACCCGTCTGGGAGATTCTAGTGGACTCTCGATCCTGATCAAGTCCCCTTCCCTCCTCCCATCTTCTTTTGCCTTGCCTTTCCTATGGTGCAATGAAAAGAAATCTGGACTTTTCTACAGCTCCATGTACAAGTTGCTCCAGGCCTTGGGGACACCCCTGACCCCTCTGGGTCTCATTCTTCTTGCTGTAAAATAAGGATCCCAGAATAAGAGACTCTGGAGTTGCTTCCAGTTCTGAAATTCTATGTTCCTCTGCCATCTAGCATTGAGTTTGCTTCTGGTTTATTCCTACGTCCGATAACTGAACCACGAGTGTGATCTTATTCACTGGGATCTATTGGATCTCAGAGAACTGCATTTTCCCGAGAGCCTGACCACCTCCCAGACAGAAGCTTACACCGTGGGAGAAGCGGATTCTGCCGTTCCCTCTTTTGCTGGGTCAAACAAAGCAAAGTGGGGCAGTCAGCATCTGGTGACTGAATTCAGGAATCCATAAATAAATGATCTTTGTTAACAGGAGGCCAGCAAAGATGCAGAAAATCCTAACGTTGTTTCTCCTTGGTCCTAACACACTGTCATAGGATTTTTGGTTTTTTTTTTTGTTTGTTTGTTTTTTGCAGAACAATGTCAAACACACTCTCTGCTTTTGATCGTCCCCCTGCGGCTACATCGAATCTGGACTCCCCTGAGCTCCAGCCACTTTCCCCCCTGCGCGGGGTTTATCGCTACGTACCCTGAATCAGCGATATTTACGGGCTTCCTTTATCTCGTCCTCCTGACTCTACGTTCCTTGAGGGCAAACTTCCTGTGTATTCATCACTGTGCCCCCCACGTGGTCTAGCACACAGCAGTGGCCGTAATAACACTGTCACAATTACAAAGCCCTCTGGTTTCCAAAAAAAAAAAAAAACCACTCCCAAGCAAGCGCTCCTTCTGTCTGGCGCTCTCGAGCTCCCCGGGAAGTTGGCGGTCCTGATTACGGAAGTGCAGAGAGAGGTTCCGGGCCTGATCACAATCAGGCGCCGAGTGCATTAGAGACAAGTCCCAAACAATGGCTTTCTGCCTCCAGTGTAGTACTCTTGCCAATAATTTTTTTTAAGTATATGGATGGATGAATGAATGACTTGAAAGAGCTGAGGATGGAGCATGCCACAGAAGATGATGGCAGGGTCCTACATAAGCTAGAAAGTGCAGAAAGCACCCGCAGTTCACCTGGCTTCCAGGTGTCCATCAAAGTCACCTTTTTTAGGGGAGGGGGAAAGGGGATGCCCCTCCTATTCCCGAGGCCCACCGGGGGTTCGCTAATGCCGTTTCCCTCCTGCAGATTTTGACCGTGTCCGGACCACCTGAAGGAGGGACCCGAGTGACCATCCACGGCGTGAACCTGGGTCTGGACTTCTCCGAGATCGCCCACCACGTGCAGGTGGCTGGGGTGCCCTGCACACCCCTCCCAGGGGAATACATCATCGCCGAGCAGTGAGTCCACCCTGGCCGGCCCTCTTCCAATGGGAGTGCCACCCTTCCCCTCCTCCACCCTCAGAGGGGCTCACTCTGTCTGAGCCCCTCTTCCCTGGCTCCTCTGCCTGGCATCGGGGCTCCGGGGCTGGTGCTGCTCCCCGTCCGGTCTTCGCCTGCCCACTGGTGTGACGGAGACAGTCTGCTGAAGAGCTCAGGCCCCTCCTAGGTCCCCCGGCCCCTCCCCGGCCAGCCCCCATTGGAATGCATCCCGCAAGGTGGGCTGCGGGCAACAATTTGTTTGGTGCACGGGGCTCTGACAGCAGCTTAATCCGAGCAGGGCCTCCGCCGGAGCAAATTCATTTATTTCACTAAGGGAAATGTCAGCTGGAAATTAGAAAATAGGCATGTAGTGGCGGACAGGCGAGCGGGGCTCCAGGAGTGACATATGTTCCAATTTGGGGTGTGCATTTGGCAGTGGCAGCCTCTGTGGAGACGGTGGGCAGGAGGCGGGCACAGAGCTGGGGGCGGGCCGGCCGGCGGGCAGGAGGGCTGTCACCCCTCCAAAGGAGAAAGGGAGAGGGGCAGCCACAATCACATCGCAGGGTTTGTCCTGGGAAGTTAAGCCAAACCATTCTGATTCCACGGAGAACACAGCTCTCTGCCCGGGGCACTAGGAGCATGCCCCAGAGCATGACCTCGGGCCGGGGGGCTTCCCTCCCTCGGCCCCACCCTCTGCAACCTCAGGTCACCTCCTTAGTCCGCCCCAGAGCCGGCCTTCAGTGGCAACCCCATGGACATGACATCTCCTTATCTTCCATCAGCACTTTGCAGTGAACAGAGCTCTTTCTCATCCTCTATTTTTAATTGGCAAGGACCCGAGAGGTAACATCCGTTATCTCCACTTTGCAAAGCAAGAGCGCACCAAAGACTCCAGGAGCGAAGTGACTGTCCTCGGTTCGCTCAGGGCACACTGGCCGAGGCAGAATTGGACCTTGAGCCCCCCAACCCTTTGTCCAGGGCTCTTTCCCACCCCGACCTGTGATGGGGCAGGACTCCTGGGCAGGATGGGCCCGGAAGTTCCGTGACTCAGCACGTTGGGGCTTGGAGGCTCTGCTGTGGCCCAGAGAAGAGTCAGCGTCAGGAGGGCTGAGTTCCCGGACCCCACGCGCTGTGTGTTGCCCACCGGCCACGGCAGGGGCGAGGAAAGAGCCGGCCTGAGCCTCACCCCCCTCAGGTCTGGTCCTTCACCGACAGCCTCAGCCCTGCAAGGAGCGGGTTGTGCCAGAGAGGCTGGCTGGGCCCGCAGGGAGGAGCTGAGGGAGGGCACAGGGAGGTGACATAAGTAGCACTTCTGAGCCAAAGAGGAGATAAAAGTTGAGGGGCAGGAGCCAGGGCAGCCCGCAGAGGCCCCGACGGCCAGATGGTCTTTAGGTTGGGTGCTCAGTCACACTGAGCCCAAGTCCACCTTGGCCTTGAGGACCTGCCTTGGGCCTCTGCACACAGCCCCGTCTCCAGCTCGGTGAGATGCCCCAGTCCTCCAGAGGAAATGGCTGGGGTGGGAGGTACCACTTTTGGCTGACAGGTGCAATGCCTGGGCAGCTGGCCCTCAGAATGTCACGAGAGCACGCTGTAGCCCTGGCTCCCCTACTGACCAGACCCCAGACCTTGGCAAGCTGTTCCATCCCTCTGACCTTCAGCAGCCTAATGTGCTGTGCCAACGCAAGGAGCTCCCGTTCTGTTTATGAAATTAAAGGGACTGCACTGGCTCACCCAGGGCCTCGGAGGAGCAAGTGCCGAGAGAAGCCGGAAGAAGTGGGGATGTGAAAGGAGCCTGGGGAGGTGAAGGGTCCCCGAGGAGGCTGGTGGTCGCCCTGGAAAACCAGCACCACCGCCGTGTCCCCGGGCGCGGGGCAGCCAGGCTGCAGAGCACACAGCCCGCACCTCACCGGATGCAGCCTGGTTTCCAGCCGCGCCGGGCTCATTACCACTCTGGAGGTTTCGGAGTTTGTTAGCATAGTTAAAGCCTCCATCCCGGGCAGGAGCAGCAGGCACGATCGTTACAGATGTCTGTGCGAGATGAGTTTGGCTAAATGGGCCCGGTGCAGAGTCCGGGGCTCGGGCAGGTTTCTCGGGCACGGTAATGATTCACCATATGCTTATGCCGCGCCATCTATCACTCAGCAATTAGGTTAATGCCGGTTGCCGGTTAAAGGGCCCCGCTTAGTCCTGCAATCAGCACCCCACAGGTCCACGGAGGGCCGGGAGACTCAGTCGCAGGGTGTTTTCTGGGCAATGGGACGCAGGTTGAGGCTGCAGCTCCGCCCCTCCTGGGTCAGGGGCTCTGCGTGGGGCAGACGCAGCTCAATCTGCTGCTGCTGTGAACACAGCCACGGCCGGGTGGATGGCACATACCGTGTTTCCTCGAAAATAAGACCCACCCATAAAATAAGCCCTAGCAGGATTTCTAAGCATTTGCGCAATAGAAGAAACCCTACCCCGAAAATAAGAGCTAGCGACGGGCGTGGCTACGCAGCGCATCTGCACAACCCATGCATGTCGTCGTGCAGCGGGAAAGAAGACGGGCAGCCCTTCTCGTCTGCCCCGTGAGAGCTCTATCACTCGACATGAGAGATGGGGGCCGATGGTTCTAAAGGAAACAGAGTCGCAAGAAATTCAGGATGGAATTCGGGGTTTGGAGAGTTATGATGATCTTCTGGAAGAAGACGCCTTATCTATATTTGAATAAATGTAGATTGTTGTACCATACTTAAAAAAAAAAATAACACATCCCCTGAAAATAAGCCCTAGGGTGTCTTCTTGAGGAAAAATAAATACAAGACCCTGTCTTATTTTCGGGGAAACACGGTACATGCATGCGCTCCCCAAGCCAGGGATCGAGGCACCGCCTGTGCAAGTCTCTGGGCGGTGGTGTGGCGTGGGGGCAGGGACACTGGTCAGGATGCCAGGACACAGGGGGTCAAGCCTCAGCTCAGCTCTGGACGAGCTAGGTGACTTTGGACAAGTCACTTTGCTCCCTGTTCCTCAAAGGTCTCATCTGGACGATAGGAATGTAGGAATAGATGAGTCCTGCCGTCACTTCAGTGGTCCTTAGGGTGTCGAAGGCAGTAAGCTATACGCATACCATGGTACGTGCAACTCACACCGTTAGAAGCTTGTCGGTGGCACTAACGCGTCTCCAGAAGGCCCCTGTCAACAAGGAGGAGTCGAGTCTTCAAATGTCAAAGCTGGGAGCGGTTTGGACCAATTTCCCATGTTCTAAGGAAAAAACGTAGGTGTCCCCAGCTAGCGTGCCCTAATAACACCTAGGGGGCCCAGAGCCTCCAGGGACGTAGGGAAGAGACACGGGAGGCAGGAGGCCCCCCGGGAACCTTGCTGGCTTGCAGGGCTTGAAGGAGGAGTTGGTGTGCACGCTGCTGCCTGAGGTTGTCCCCCGCAACCAAGAAGGTAGGGGGACAAGGGGCGTGCTCTCAGAGCCCGAGCAGCCCAGCTGGGGCCTTCCCACCACCCCCTGCCAACAGCCTCACGTCTGTCACTGCTGCCTATCCAGATTGTCGTTTCCTCAACAGACCCACAGGCATCCCACTAAATCTAGCAGCAGCAGAGTGGAGTGGTGAAAGCATGAGCTTTGGAGTCAAGCTGACCTGGATTTGAATCAGGGCTCTGCCACTTACCCGAATTGCAGCCATAGATAAGTCAGTTGGCATGTCTGAGCCTCAGTTTCACTGTCTGTAACATGGAGATAATAAGACCCACTCGGCAGTGGAGCCTGAGGATGACATGAGATCCTGCCACACTCAGTAAACTGAGTCTGCTATTCTTCTAAGGGTCCAGAATCTGCTTTAGCATAACACTCATTCTTCAGTACAACCTTTCTGCTCCTGCCAGCTGCCCTGGCTTCTTCCTCTAACCCCCTAGCTCCTTGAGCTCAGAGAACAAGAGCCTATAACAAATATTATACACTCAGGGCATTTCCCTCCTTCCCTGCAGACACTGGGTCCCAGGAATTAAAGGGAAGAAGAATTAGAGGTGGCTGAATTCTTCTACAGTGCTGCTGCATTTCCCTGGAACTCCTGCCCAGTCCTTAGACTTACCCAACCCGACCCTTCTTTATAGCCCACTGGTGACCACAGGCCTCTGCCCACTCGTTCCAGGAGGAGGAAGGGCTCCCATGGCCAGCTCTAGGCCCCCACCGCAGCCCAGCCCCCGGACCCCTTCGCCGTTCCCTTCCAGGGCAGGGACACTCAGAGTCAACTTCAGGTTCTTGGCCTTGGACACGCAGGTGGTGTCCATCTCCCATTCATCATTCTTCTCCCAGGGGCTTGATACATACAGCTTATCTTTGGGGACATAAACCTCGGGCGAGAAAATGTCCTAGAAAAGGCAGGGTGCCAAGGGGCCCCAGGTCAGCGTTAACCCCACACAGGAACAGCTGACCGGGACCATGCCAGGCCTCTCCTCTCCCAGACAGCCCCAGGGCCCAAGAAAGAACATTTCAATACTGCCCATGACCTTCACGTGTTCTCATATTTCCTTTTTTCCATCACTTCAAGCCTGTGATGATTTCTTCTTCTTTTTCTTCTGAAGGATCTCTCCAGCAGAGTGTCCAAGGGTGATGAGTGAGGAACAAGCAAGCCCTGATTAGAAGAGAGGGCAGAGTCTTGTCTGCTCCCTCCTCTCCTCGCCCCCCGCCCCCAATACTCACAATAGGCGGCTGATTCCCCTCTGGTCGCCTTGACAGTGCAGGGCATGGTTTGCGGGACGACAGGGGGGGCCTGAGACAGCAGCAGCTGCCAGGGCCCGGGAAACAGGATGGCAGAGCCATGACTCCACGCAGGTAGCAGCATGAAAATACCCACACATACCATCTTACATTAAGCTTCCTGAATGCTCCGCTAATGAGGTTTAAGGAGACAGTTACGTGTAAAATACTAATTGATCGTCACGATCGTGTTTACTCGGGTTCATAATTAATTGCTTTATTCATAGAGGAAGGGAAAGGAGAATATTCTTCCGTGCGCGTTCGATACTTCCTTGTTGAATCTAATATGCTAAACGTAGTAAGACAGTTATTGCATGTTAAGTAAATATTCGCCAGGAGTGAAAGTAGTTATTTGGGATTAACTGTTATGAAGGAGACGGAGATCAGCGGCTCCGTGTGTGCGAGCATGCGGCGTGTTTGTTTAATGCAAGTTTTATTACATCGAAATGAAATCTCTGTTTAGTTACCTTCCTTCCTAGAGAAGCTGGTGAGATAAGCATCGCTCGGTTAAACACGGATCTTCCCCACCGTGCCAGGATAATGCCGGGGATTAGTGGGGTGGACGGGGGAGGGTTTCTGTTTTTCTGACTCCCCACTAAGCAAACCTACCAGGAGCACCAGACTGCTCTGGACTCTTAAACGGGGTTCAGGAGTTCCTTCTGCTGAGCCTAGCAGGGCCCTCTCCCACCCAAGCCAGGCCCTGCAATTCGAGGCAAGAGGGTTACCCCCAAGAACCTGGTTTCTTCAATCCCCACCCCACCCCATCCCCGCTTCCCCACCCCATCCTCAGCTGCCCACCCTTTCCAGAAGATCTGCTGTGACTAAGGCAACCAGCATGTGCTTGCCGAGCGGTTCTCAAGTCATCAGGAGGGGGTATCGATCTGGACTGCTTCCTCCAGCTCGCCAGTTAGTGCTAGAGTGACTTCTAACCCAGGGCCGTGTCACCTGCCTCGCCCACCAGCTCAGCGCACTCAGCCCTTGATTAAGTGGGAGTCCCTTGTCAACTGCCGGCCTAATGAACTCATCCCTCCACCCCACCCCTTCCCAACTGCCTCCCTGTTCTGCTGGGAGCTCCTGTTTGGAGCTCTCACTATCTCACCTGATTATCTACCCCCTTTTAAAAACTCACTGCAGGAAGCCAACCGCAATTGAATCAGCAGGCAAGTAGGCCCTGGCTCACTCCTAGAGGGAGTGTTGCAATGCGGGCTTGGCACAGAGGAGACAGCACCAGCTTACCTGCTGCCCCTAGGTCTCCCTGTTGACCGTTCAGTTCATCGCATGGATACCCGGCACCTACCCAATGCTAGGCACCGTGCTAGGCAAAAGAGGAGAACAGGCTTGATGACAAAATCAGGCCTCATAGCAGCTCAGAGGCATATAGGGCTATAAACACTTGCACTGTACAGGTGAGACCGAAGCCCAGAGAGGGCAAGCACTGCACCCAAGGTCACACAGCTAGATGGGCGAGCGAGCTGAGGGTTGGTCTGGCCCTGTTGCAAGACTGTGCCGCGTCGCCGTTCGCCACGGCCGGGCGAGCAGGTGGGGAGGGACGCCCGCTCTCGCTAAGCCTCTCACGGGAAGGTGTGCTCTCTCCCCAGGATCGTGTGCGAGATGGGCCACGCGCCCGTGGGAACCGCCTCCGGGCCGGTGCGCCTGTGCATTGGCGAGTGTAAGCCCGAGTTCATGGCCAAGTCCCATCAGCAGTACACCTTCGTGGTGAGTAGCGGGTCGAGGCCCGGCCACGGGTGCCCAGCAGGGGCACACGGCTGCCCCACACCCCCCGGGAAGGCCCCCCGCTCCCCTCCCAAGCCAGGCAGCACCGGGCTTCTTGCAGGCCAGGCAGGAGAAAAGGAACCTTCCAGAAAAGGGGAGCTTCTGGCCTCGCTGCTTGGCCAGCCTGCCCTTCCAGGGTCAGGTGGGGGTGTGATTAGCAAAGCTCTGGAGACTGGAGTCCCAGAGGGCCAAAGGTCAGAGTTCTAACCAAGGCAAAACCTGGCCCCTCTCCGAAAGTGGATCCTGGACTCCCACCGGTGCCACCTCTGGGTCTAATTCCAGCCTAATGAGGCCGGACCTGACTAGTCGGGTCTGTATTTATCTGCATGCTTTGTTTTCTGCCAAGGATATTTTAAAAGTGGGAGTTTAGAAATGTTGCTGAGATCTGGCAGAGACAGTGTGTCTGTGTACAGTACCATGAGATCGCTCTGCGTGTCAGTGTGGTCACACACACACACACACACACACACACGTGCACACTCACACCTGAAAACATCGCTTCTAGCTCAGGCAACAGGTAGTCAAGTCGCCAAGGCTTTCGGTAAGGCTGGCGCTGTATTCGTGCTAAATCAATAACTTCTTTCTGGGGCCCCGGAGCTATATTCATACTCGATCAATAACTTGGCTTCTTAGGCCCCGAAGTCCCTTTTCTGACACTTGCCTACACTGCTACATCGAGCACTTCATTAAATAGCATTAACACTAGCAGATGGGGTCAAACCAGCCTTGCTAAGAGTTTTAAAAAATCTTTACACCGCAAAATTCTATTCTCTCCAAAACATTTGACTGCTTATTTTAGGCTTATTCCTGCCTCTGCCTTCTGGTCTTGACATCTCTAGGTTTATTCTTTCTCAGATCGGAGGAGAGTACCCCGGCCTGTCTGCAGCCAACCTACTGAACTCACCTCCAACCCTGGGCAACCCGGGGGGCTGGCTCGTGTGTAGAGCAAACGCAGGAGGACTACTGGGGAGAGGCCCGTCTAATGTCAGAGCTGGGAGGGGCTCTAGAGATCATCTAGCCCACCCTCCTCACTTGACGGGAGCAAACAGAAGTCCAGAAAGATTCCAAACCTTGCCTCAGGCCCCACCGCCCTAGAATTCACGCCTTGTGTAGCTGCTCAGTTAAATGCACTTTCCACACCACTGCCTCTAGGTAGAGGCATTTCCTTCCTGATTTAGGTCGGCTGCCTGATGCATTTTAGGCTAGACATTCGGGCTTAATTTTATAGCTTAGGGAGCTTGCTAGAAAGTCCCAACCAGCCAGGCACCATCCTCCAAGTACGAGCCGGAGAAGCCGCCCTAACGTTTAGTGACAGCTCTCTGTACTGGGAATCCGGCTGCCCTTCCCATGCTCCGGGGGGGAGTCAGAAGGACATGTGCATGGGCCATGGGTGGGGACTTCCCTCTCGGTGGCCCAGCCCAGGCAGAGACGCTTTATCGATCCCTATTGAGTTTGTGCCCAAAAAATCAGTACAGGCTCTAGATAGAGACGTGTTTTCAAATTGTTCTCAATTTGTAAACTAATAGATAGATTAGTCTGTGTCACCTCTGCTTTCCCTTCAGTGTTATGAGCATGAGACTCTCCAGGGAGTTAATTAATTCTGACACGTGGCTTTCCCCGGACATGCCCAGAGACTCTTCCTGGAAAGGGCCTCAGCTGCAGGAGAAGCAGAGAGAGAGCGTTTGGGAATGAAAGGGGCAGGAAAAGCACCTGCACCCCCAGCATGCAGATGGTTCCTCCCCCTTGTCCTTAGGTCTAGCTGTGGTCATTTCTCTGCTTCCTTCCCAAGAACCCTTCCGTGCTGTCGCTCAACCCTATCCGAGGGCCGGAGTCAGGAGGCACCATGGTGACCATCACAGGCCATTACCTCGGGGCTGGGAGCAGCGTGGCAGTGCACCTGGGCAACCAGACCTGCGAGTTCTACGGGTGAGCAGCACTTGGAGGCCGTCTGTACCGCCGATGCACGTGCATGTTCACGTGTGCCGATGCCTGTGTACCGCATGTTCCTGTGCATGTTCATACGTGGGCCGGCCCCATCACCTCCACGTTGCCACACTGGGGACCCAAACGCCCTTCCTGTCATTGTGAGACATAGACACACCACCTGTCAGTTTGTACCCCGTGCATCAGAGGAGCTGGATACTTCTAGAGGTGATTGGAAATGAGGGCCAGGAGGACACCAGATGGACAAGGCTCCTGGGAGCTCTCCTGTCACCACTAGGATCAAGTGTTCCTTAAGTCCCTGCTCTGGTGACTTGAGAAACACAGAGGTTGCACGGTCTCAGTCCTTGTAAACACAGGCTCACGCTCGGGTCACCCCTTGTGCGTAAAAAGTTGAACACTTACCACTTGTCAGCAACTCGCGTAGCCTTGGGGATATGGAGCCCCCCGAGAGAATTCCGAAAGAACCCATGGGCGGGGAGCCCGTTCACCTAGCAGTAGCTCCCTGAAAATCTCCTCTCTGGACCATAAACTCCACAAGTGCAAGGACTGTGTGTTCACCTCTACATACAGTAGGTGCTCAATAAGTGGTTGCTGACTGCCTGACCAGACTCTAAGGCACTGACTACCTAGTCATATTCTGGAAATTCAGAAAGAGGAGTTCCCCCAAAGCCCATGAATCCATCTCTGCTCCACGTTCTCCGACCCTCTTCTCCAACTTGCTGCCTCCTTAATCCAGCTAGGGTTGGGTCCCAGGTAAAAAGAGGGCACCGATCTATGCTGATGAGGGGTGTGTTCCACGGCTTAGACTATAAAAGGGTGGGAGCCCACCTCTGGGCCATTTTCTCCAACCTTTCAAGCCCGGGAGCACCCCACTTACCTGTGCCGTTCTTCTCAACCCCATCTCAATGCTGTCTCCCCGTCAGGAGGTCGATGAATGAGATCGTGTGTGTCTCACCGCCCTCGTCCAATGGGCTGGGCCCGGTGCCTGTCTCCGTGAGCGTCGACCGAGCCCGCGTGGATAACAGCCTGCAGTTCGAGTACATAGATGACCCTCGGGTGCAGCGCATCGAGCCCGAGTGGAGCATCGCCAGGTGAGGCAGAGGGTGGGAGGCTCGCACCTGGCTGCGGTTGGCTGAGTTCCACCGTGCCGGACCTGAGGGCTTTTACTTAACCCAGCCTCTGCTTGCTCCCAGCGGCCACACTCCCCTGACCATCACGGGCTTCAACCTGGATGTCATTCAGGAGCCGAGGATCCGAGTCAAGTTTAACGGCAAAGAATCTGTCAACGTGAGTAACCGCCGGTCGGTCGCCCCAGCCCTGGGTGAGCACAGCTCCCTGTCTGCCTTTTGCAATGGGACGAGGACTGTTGGCTGAAGACGCTGAGCCTGGAATCATGGCGCCACATGCCTGAACCTTACAATGATTTCTGTAATTACAGTGTAAGTTGTCAGAAGGTGATATAGTGGGTATATAAAAGTACTGGCTTCCAAGCTCAGGATACAGCACAGAAAGGCTCCTGTTTTATGACATGTTCACTTTGAGGCCCCCTGAGAATCAGTGTTGGGGGTGGTTGAAGGAATTCTGGCTCCAGATTCACACATGTCTGGACCTCTGTCACCTATTAGCTGCACAACCAAGTCAAGCCATCGAACCTCTCTGACGCTCCACTCCTCAGCGACACACGGCCCTGCTCAGCCCTTCCCTGCAGATGGGTCACATGTGAGCCGTGGCTGGCACTAGGCTGGCCCTGAATAAACGTCAGCCACTGCATGCAGATAATCCACCCGGGTGCTGAGATGATGGGGTTGAACATTTTACTTTACTCCCCTGTGCAGAGCCATGTAATTTTTTTTTCCACTATGGGTTTTATAATTTTAGAAAAGTTTTCTGTATCCTAAAAGAGTATCTGATATGTTGTTGTAAAATTTTTTTTCAGTTTGTTCTAATGGCTCCATCTCACTCTTTCACCTAATATTTTTTTGAAACATTATTGCATGTGTAATTATATTCCACCAGATGCTATTATGGGCATGATTGTTCATAGACATTACCGTGGTTACTGCCATGACCTTCAGGGGATTGACTGGGCTGATACAGAGATGGGGAGATGGTGCTGTGTCTCCCCCTTTTTCTCTGATGCATCTCCAATGTGCTCAAGCCTTCCTTAAGAAACAGAGATACGTAAATTGACAGTGCTAGAAGGTTAGATCTGGAAAGTTCTACAAGATCATCCGGTTCAACCCTCTCACTGTTGAGATAAGAGTGATGGGTAGCAGAGCCAAGCTAGGTCCCAAACATCTGGACTTGTCACAACTAGGCCACGTGAAGTGCTGGTGGGCTTGACGGCCCATCTTGCCAGAGACACGGGGGCACCTGTTTGACACCTTCAAGACCCACCATGGTCTCTGGGCTGGGTGAGCCCATACTTCCTTCTCCCAGGTGTAGAGCCTGATGCCTGGGTGACAGAAACCACGTCCCCATCCACTTCCAGACTGCAGCCAAGTGTCCCCAGCAGGGCACCGTCCACCTTCCTCCTGCCAGACTCCAGGAGCCAGGGGGGGAGGATGAGGCGTGAGAATAAGAGCAGTGAGCTCACACCCAGGAAGGATAAATCCCCCCTAAAACAAATTAGCTACACGTTTTAAAATGCAGGTTTTGTCATTATTCGGTTGCAGCAAGGCCAGAGTGTAGTTTGTCATATTCACAGATTGGTCCCTGAGAGAGGGGGGCCTGCGGTGGGGGATGGGGAGGGGGCACAGGGAAGCCCTGGGGCTGGTCAGGAGGGAGAGGGAGACAGAGGAGGTGGCCAGAGCATTTATCCTGGCTTCTGCAGGAAGGAACAGGCACCGGGCGCAGCAGGGTAAGCGAGTTTAGGATGGGCTAGTTGAGCAATTTCAGCAGGCTCTGGGGCTTAGGGGCTGTCCCTAGTTATCTGACACCTTGTCCTGGGGTGACCAGGGCATGTGCATAGGGTGAAAGGAGGTGGCTGGGGTGCAGGGTGGGGTTGCTGGCTGGCTTGCGTAGGAAAGGCATGCTCACAGGAAAGTTTCGCTGCCTCTAGGGTCTGGCTGGCCCTGGGAGGGACATTCCTCCCCACAGCCTGCAAGGCCCCAGATGTCAAAGCATCGGAATACAGACACTAAAAGACCTCATTCATACAGTGCAGAGAGTTTTGTAGAGTGAGTACATGGCTGACAAGGTTGACCTCCAGAGGCTGTGGCATGAGTCCTTGGGAAGCCCTGGGCTGGAACCACCCCTAACCCCCGTGCTACACCTGACAGCTGTAGCAGAAGGCTCAGGTCCCATGTCCCCTCTACCCCCTGGGCAGGAATCTCCCCAGTACTCTCCCAGTCCCAGCTACCGTGATCTCAGTGCTTCAAGGAACTGAGAAGTAGCTCTCCCCTCTGGAGAGCTAGAGGGGGACTCAGCTTCAGTGGGGACATGCCTGGAGGACAGGCATGTGGGGGTGCAGTTTTCCATCAAGCCTGGCTCCAGAACGGGGAGCTCCTGAACTCTGTCCTCCTCTTTCGGGAGTGGTGGGAGACGCCCTTTGCCCCTACAGCCCTGCTAGGGCCCCATCTCCTCCTCAGCCCACCTGGGGGCTACCCTCCCTCACCTTTGGGGTTTGAGGCAGCCCCAGCAGGTAGTGAGGGGGGCCAGAGCATAGCCGCAAAACCCAAAGGAATGTTTGGCAAACAAAGTGCCGATGCAGCACAAGGCAGGAAGCATACAGAGGCCTCTTGTGTGGGAGTGATTTGCCTATTCATAGGGGAGCCAGGTCCAGGGAAACTGGACCAAGCAGGGAGGAAGACAGGAAGGGGGTGAAGAGGCTCACTGAGGCTGGGGCTCTTCCCTATGGAGCCGAGGGATTGGGACTCCCTGGCTCAGCTCTGCCTGTTTGACTACACCCTTCATTCTGCATGTGCCTCAGTGTCCCCAGCTGGAACATGAAAGGGACATTAGGTTCCCAAGGGGCTGCTGAACCGTGCCACGAAAAGGGTGGGAACGGGTACCGCCCCACTAGAGGATGAAGACCACAACAAGCTGTTTCATGGAAACTCTTAAACTTCCTCCAGAAAGGGAGCTCCGGTCAAAACTTGGACTTGAAGCTCTGACATAATCTCTATACAAGTGTCAGCTTTTTTGCAATTTCACAGTCGGTCTTGTTTTCTGAACATGAAGCCTGTGTGTATGTGTTGGCTAGATGCACATGTGTGGACCCGCCAGGACAGTGCGTACCTGAGCAGTCTGATGCTCAGAGGTGCCTTTGGCTGTGGCTGGGACCCTGTGGCTTCCAAAGCTGAAACCGAGCAGCACCGAGTGGGAGCCAGGAAGAGAGGGGTGGGAACCTGGCTTTGTTTCCCAAGCCCTGCGTGGGCCATTCAGTGGCTTCTTCTGTCTGGCTGCTGCCTTGGGCAGCCCCGAAACTAAACCACCTGGGGAGAGAATGGCACCGCTTATGCCAAGCAGGGGTCAGCCCAGCTAGGACTTCACTTGGAGGATCGGAGTCCTCCAAGAGAAAAAGGGCATCACGAATTCAATGTCAATGCCAAGGTTCCACCCAGTGCAGGGTTAGGGGGCCCTTGTGTGGAGACTAGAGAAAGAAGTCTGTGTAAAACATTTAAAAAGTTGCAGGATCCTGTTTACTCAGCAATTTATCCAGTAAACATTAACTGAACATGTCCTATGTGCTGGGCAGAGTGCTCATCTCATAACACTCCCTGCTCCACACTCCCCGTACACACACAAACACATGCACACACACACACATGCACACGCACATACACATGCATACATGTGCACACACGCACACGCACATACACATGCACACATGTGCACACACAAACACACATGCACACACGCACACACATATGCACACACGTGCACACACGCACAAACACATGTGTGCACGCGTGCGCGCGCACACACACACACCCTACACAGTCAAACATCCCACTTGCCCTCATCCCCGGACCTTCGAGGTGCTGCTGTCTCTGCCCCTCCTGTCTGTGTCTAGATAAGTCCTACTCCTTCTTCAGATTACATTTCATTCATTTCTCCCAGAAGAAAACTTCCATGAGTGACCGTGGACATGCACACTCACACGCTCACGCACACACTCACGCACACACGGACGCTCCCAGAGCACCCGGCCCTTCCCACCAGCGCTCTTTTTACATCCACGTGTGTGTTTCCCAGCGCTGCACCCCTACTGCGCTCCAGGCCCTCGGCCAGGGCTGTGTCACACTGTGGCACTTATCTGTCACCCCTCCAGACAGTGACTGCTTCCCTTTATAGCCCCAACTTCTACCACAGTGCCTGGCGCAGAGTAGATGCTCAGTGTTGGTGAATGAATGAATGAATGAATGAATGAATGAATGAATGAGGTTAAAATGCACCTTCCCTGCTTCCAAAAAATGTCACCACCTTTTCTTCAAAGGCTTCATCATGCCATGCAGACAAGCAAAGAACCCAATGATTAGAAGCGAAAGCAAGCGGCGGGGGGGAGGGTAGCAGCAGGCCCCCCGGGTTCCGTCTGCCAGGCGCTCGGGGTGTGAATGCTGCACTGCGGACCTCCTAGGTGTGCAAAGTTGTGAACACAACCACCCTCACCTGCCTGGCGCCCTCTCTGACAACGGACTACCGGCCGGGCCTGGACACGGTGGAACGGCCAGATGAGTTCGGATTTGTCTTTAACAACGTCCAGTCTCTGCTGATTTACAACGACACCAAGTTCATCTACTACCCCAACCCGACCTTTGAACTGCTCAGCCCCACTGGAGTCTTGGACCAAAAGCCAGGATCACCCATCATTTTGAAGGTAGGGGCAGCGATGGTAGAGGGCGCCCCACTCTCCCTACGCCTGGCTTTCTTTCCGGTGCTTTCTATGCACCTGGACTGGCCAAGCTGTCATCTTCCATGGAAGGAGCTTGTTTATAGACAGTGACCCACTGAGCGGTGTACCTGGCGCTCAGGATTCTCAGGACGTACTTTAGAATATTTCTCTTTGTTCTTGTGAGCTTTGGGAACCAGCGAGCTGGGAGTAACCGTTTCCTTTTCTGTCCACTCTGTGGCTACGGTGACCTGCACGTGTATTCAGGAGGTCACAGTCACCTGGTACCATCGGTCCAAGTGTTTTGTTATTCCACCACTTTCATCAGATCCAAGTATCCGCCTTTAAATTTTCTCTCGTTTGGCATTTTGTCTCCCCTGTCTCCTTCCCGCTCAAGATCTTCCCTCCCTTTCCTTCTTTCCTCCTCTGTCTTCTCTCTAGACTGTAGCTGACAGGCATCCCCTCCAAAGGGCTTGCCACGGGGCCCTTTCCTGGTTTTTGCGTTGCTGCCTTCCCCACCTCCCTAATGTCGTTTCCAGTAGCCAGCTGACTTCTGCGTGCACAGGCCAATTATTCCCATTAAGATCGCTCCTCTCCACAGGGCAAAAACCTCTGCCCTCCTGCCTCCGGAGGGGCCAAACTCAACTACACGGTGCTGATTGGAGAGACGCCTTGCACCGTCACCGTGTCCGAGACCCAGCTCCTCTGCGAGCCCCCTGCCCTCACGGGACAGCACAAGGTCATGGTGAGTGGGCCGCTCCCCTCCCTGTGGCTCCGGCCCCCTCTCGGTGCATGCAAGTCTGTCCTAAGGAAAGGCTCCCTCCCCCCCCCTCCCTGCCTGACCCCTCCCTCCACATCTCAGCGACATGTCCTGCACCAAAGCGGGTGGAAGTTGAGGGCACGAGAAAAGGCAGGCAGATACCACGGCGGGAAGTGGCTTCGTATCCAAATCCGCACTGCGTGGTCCTGGTCTGTCACACCCTCCCTGGCTCCGCCAGGGTCTGCTGGCATGCCGGGGGGCTCTACACCCGTGTGCGTCTGTGTGTGCACAATGCGCAGGTTCACGTGGGCGGGATGGTGTTCTCGCCGGGCTCGGTGAGCGTCGTCTCAGACAGCCTGCTGACCCTGCCAGCCATCGTCAGCATCGCGGCCGGCGGCAGCCTGCTCCTCATCATCGTCATCATCGTCCTCATCGCCTACAAGCGCAAGTCTCGGGAAAACGACCTCACGCTCAAGCGGCTCCAGATGCAGATGGACAACCTGGAGTCCCGGGTGGCCCTGGAGTGCAAGGAAGGTAAGCGGAGGCACGCCCTCACTCCCCGGGCCCTCTTTCCTCACCCACCTCGTCACGGTCTTCTCTGCAGACGGCTCCCGTCGCTCCCGGCCGAGCCTTTGCACTCCTCTTTGACCTCCGCTTTCCCAGAAATGTCCCTCGGGGCCAGAGAAGTGCTATAAAGAATGCCCCCTGCGTGCAGTCTCAGGCCAGAGACAGCGAGGATTCCTGGGGTGTGTCCCCAATCAGTGGGGGTGGACACTCTTAGGCTCCCTTTTTTAGGTGGTGGGGGAAATGCATGGTTTTTATATTACTTTCTCCTCTATGCTTAGCTATCATTTTGAATTTGCTGTCTACATATGACAAGTGCAGTTAAAAACAAAGAAAAAGGATGGCTGGGGGCCTGTAATCCCAGCACTTTGGGAGGCTAAGACAGGAGGATCGCTTGAGTCCAGGAGTCTGAGGCTGCAGTGAGCTATGACTGCACCACTGTACTTCAGCCAGCCTGGGTCACAGAGTGAGACCCCGGCTCTAAAAAACAAAAGAAAACAAAAAAAGAAAAAGCGGGCTATTTGGTAAAGATCCTGGAGGCGTTTGAGAGACAGGGCGGAGGGGTTCAATGCCAAACCCTCGGAAGCTCTGGTCACCTGGCGCCTGGTGGAGAGCAGAGAGGAGAGTCATTGTCCTAGTCCCCCACCTGCCTGGACGCGTCCCTTGATCTGGCCGACTCCCTCTCCCGCTCAGGGCCTCGGCGTCCCCACGGACAGAGCCTCCCAGGCCCCATTTTCCCAGACTCCGGAACCCCCACGTGGGAGAGCCGGGCTCCTGGTCTCTGCGCAGCTATCTCTGCAGCGCGTGGAAGCAGCGGCAGAAAAGGCAGGAGAGCACCCGCCTCCTCCCCCCTCCCGGGGTTTGTTTGCATCCGAGAGGCTTGCCCGAGTCCTTGGCCCCGGACACGTGTGTGGGAGCGGAGACTGTGTTTGCTCCCGTCTCCCACGCAGCCGAAGCCTCGAGGTGACGCGTGTACCTGGCGTCCTCTCGGGCTGAGGGCCTGGCGGGCTCTCTGGGTAAACATCTCAATTAGAAATCAAAACATTTCTCATTGGACTGCGAGCGTCAAGATCAGAAACGAGCCCCTGCTGGATGCTGGGCCGGGAAACAGGAAAGGCTGGGGCCCAGGCTCCTTCTGGCACGGGGGCCGGAGAGTTTGGGAGAGGAGGTCCCCGGAGAGACGGGCCTGCGGCCGAGCTGAGACCTCGGAAGCCCTTCCCTCCGTCAACTCTCCTCTCTGCTCTCCACCAGGCGCCAGGTGACCAGAGCTTCCGAGGGTTTGGCATTGAACCCCTCCGCCCCGTCTCTCAAACGCCTCCAGGATCTTTACCAAATAGCCCGCTTTTTCTTTGTTTGTTTTCTTTTGTTTTTTAGAGCCGGGGTCTCACTCTGTGACCCAGGCTGGAGTACAGTGGTGCAGTCACAGCTCACTGCAGCCTCAGACTCCTGGACTCAAGCGATCCTCCCGTCTCAGCCTCCCAAAGGGAGGCTGGGATTACAGGCGCCCAGCCATCCTTTTTCTTTGTTTTTAACTGCACTTGTCATATGTAGACAGCAAATTCAAAATGATAGCTAAGCATAGAGGAGAAAATAATATAAAAACCACGCATTTCCCCCACCACCTAAAAAAAGGGAGCCTAAGAGTGTCCACCCCCACTGATTGGGGACACACCCCTGGAATCCTCGCTGTCTCTGCACCCCAGGGCCCCTCCTCCACCTTCACAAACTTCTTCTTCTTCCTCTTTCCCCCCCATGACTGGGGTTCCCGCCTGAGCCGCCCCTCTCTGCTCACTCTTCCAGCTTTTGCTGAGCTCCAAACAGATATCAATGAGCTGACCAGCGACCTGGACCGCTCGGGAATCCCCTACCTGGACTACCGTACCTACGCCATGCGGGTGCTGTTCCCCGGCATCGAGGACCACCCGGTCCTGCGGGAGCTGGAGGTAACACCTGCCGCGCTGGCCCAACCGCCCTGCAGGGATGCGGGGCCGGGGTTTCCTAGCAAACGCAGAGGGGACTCGTAGCACCCAGTAAGGCCAGGCGTGAGGAGGGGCCCGCAGTTCCTACCAGCATCCCAGCCACAGAGCTGTCAGCCAGTTCGCAGCCAAGGGGGCGCCCGGGCCCTTCAGGATGCCTCCCAGGCCAACGCTCGTTGTTTGTCGTTTCTTCATGGGTGACCGAATTGATTAACTAAGATCCTGCCTCATTCTAAAATGGATTTAAGGTGGCTTAAAGGAAGGCACAGGATTCCGTGAGGTTTGTTTGTTCATTTGTTGGTTTGTTTTGCTAAAGATAGTAAGTCAGGACAGAGGAGATTAAAAGGGGGGGCTAGTACACTGGAGAGGTCCCGTGCGGTGTCTCCTGTCGTATCCTTGGGGAAATCAGGCGGCGTCCCCCACCCCGAGGGGGCCTCCTGGAGCCCGGCCCTCCCAGCCCAGCGGAAGGTCGGAGCAGACCGCAGAGCCGAGAGCCCAGCCATCTTCACCAGCGCGGGTGGGTGGCAGGGGGTGGAAGTGGTACAGGCCTCGGGGACTGGGTTCCGTGACGAGAGTCCCCACAAGGCCCCAGTGAGGCCCTAGGGCGGGAGCCCAGAAGCCTGTCCTCTGAGGGTGTCGCCCCGTCGCGCCCCCCCCCAACCCCCCAGGTGCAGGGAAACGGGCAGCAGCACGTGGAGAAGGCCCTGAAGCTCTTCGCGCAGCTCATCAACAACAAGGTGTTCCTGCTCACCTTCATCCGCACCCTGGAGACGCAGCGCAGCTTCTCCATGCGTGACCGCGGCAACGTGGCCTCGCTCATCATGACCGGCCTGCAGGGCCGCCTGGAGTACGCCACCGACGTCCTCAAGCAGCTGCTCTCCGACCTCATCGACAAGAACCTGGAGAACAAGAACCACCCCAAGCTGCTTCTCCGGAGGTCTGAGTGGCGGCGGGGCGCGGGGAGGGCAGCAGGGCGCAGGGAGGGCGGCAGGCGTCCGGGCAGGGTGCCGCACCTGTTTAGAGCAGGCCCAAAAAGCGGCAGGACGGGGCCTGTTCTCCAGCAATGACTTCCGAGCAGAGCAGCCTGCGTCCCCTGTCTCCCTAAGACAGAATCTGAGGTTGCCCCGGCCCAGGGACACTGCAGTGTCCCAAGCCTGGGCTTCGATCTCAGCTGGAGCTCCAGCTCTGCCACCTACAAGCTCTGCGATCTGGGGCCGTCACCTCTCTGCTGTTTAGTTTTCTCTTAGACAAAATGAAAAAAAAAAAAAAAAGCCCCCATCTCAGTCTTCCCTCCGCATGCCTCCAGAGCTGCACCGTCCAACACAGCAGCCACAAGCCACAGTGGCTGCTGCTAATTAAAATAGAATAGACTAAAAATCAGCTCCTCTGTCACGCTAGCTGCGTTCCAAGTGCTCAGCCACCGTATTAGGCAGCACAAGATAGAGAACATTTCAGTTATCGCAGAAGGTTCTAGTGAATGGTGCTGGGCTAGAGATTTGGCGTGGCCTGCCCTTTCTGTGCTCGGCTTCCCAGATCTGAGTCACCAGCCTCCACTGCACACCCCCGTTGCCATTGTCCTGGCAGGGGAGAGGGTCGGAGACCTTGGCATCCCTCGAGCCCATCCCCTCTAGTTTGGGGGCTCCTGGCAACGGGGGTGGGTTGGAATATGCCACCTCCGCTCACCACCCCTCCTTTTAGCCTTCTCCTAGCCAGGTCTCCAGGCCCCACGTGGGGTGTTTTAGGAGTGGGGAGCCCCTATCCTGCCAATCTGAGCATTAGAAACTCTCATTAAGAACTGTTGTATTTAAATTAGAGCTAATCTCAGGCACAATGCAGGGAGAGGGTGCTGGGAGGAGCCAGGGGAGAAAGCTACAATTTTTTCTGCCATTGTCACTCTCTCCCGGGCCCAGATTGCTGAGCAGTCCTGGCAAATGCCTGGGATTTACTGCAACCAGAGGGTATAATTTACACCACGTGCAGGGAGTTAAAATGCCCCTCCGGAGAGGGTCTGTCACAGCCCTTTGTTCTTTTCCCAAATCCCCAGCTCTGTAGCCCTGGGATGGGGGAGGGGAGGGAGGGCGGTTCTTGCAGGAGCAGCTCCCTTGTTGGCTAAACACTTAAGCACTGCTCTCTGCTGGGATTCAGGACCCCACCTGTCCCCAATAATGACAGCTAATACTTACATAGCAGGTACCAGGTGCTTTTCTTAGCACTTTGCAAATATTAACTCGTTCAACCCTAACCACAAGTGTGGGGGGGGGCGGGGGGTGTAATTACTACTGTCTCCTTTTGGAGAGGGGCACGCTGAATCCAGAGAGGTTAAATGACTTGCCCAAGGTCACACAGCCAGTAGAGGGCAGAGTCAGGATTTGAACTCAGCACGGCCTGCCTCTGAGTGATCGTGCGGAGGGGAAGATAGCAGGTACCTTCCAGATATGCAAAGCAGAGTGTCCAGGCATGTAAGAAATCCCAGAGGGACAGGAAAACTCTCTATTTATCACTCTAAGGCCGGGAGGAGGTCAGGGAAACCTGTCCTTTGTAGCCCTGAACAGTGGGCACCCGTGCCTTTAGCAGCCGCCCCCGGCCCAGGTCCGGCCAAGCAGGTCAGAGAAGCACAGACGCCAGGGCTCAAAGGTCCTACCCCTCCATCCCAGGCTCAAGGAAACTGAGGCCCAGAAGGAAGCTGTCCAAGGTCACACTGGCAGTTCCCGGTGGCGCTGGGCTGGGCCCCAGGTGTCCTGCGTTCTCTCGTGCTCTGTTGCACTCCTGGGCCACGCACAAGCCCAGGCCCCACCACCGAGACCCCTCCGTAACGGACTGCCCTCATCCCTCTCCCTTCCCCAGGACGGAGTCTGTGGCCGAGAAGATGCTGACCAACTGGTTTGCCTTCCTCCTGCACAAGTTCCTGAAGGTGAGAAAGGCCGTGAGCTGGGGACCCGGAGTCCAGAGCAAGGCGGTGGCTGCTCCTCTCCGATCCTGGCCATCGGGGCTGCGTGGGGACCCCATCCCCGGGGAATAGGGACCTGGCTGGCCTGGGTGCTCCGGAGCAAAGCGGGCCTGGGAAGCCCCTCCGGCCGCTGCCCCGGCTCCCCGGGAGAGGAAGGGGAGGACGAGCAAGCCACGCAGGCTGGTGCCCGCGCTTCCCTGCCCGCCTGTGCCCGCAGGAGTGCGCCGGGGAGCCGCTCTTCATGCTGTACTGCGCCATCAAGCAGCAGATGGAGAAGGGCCCCATCGACGCCATCACGGGCGAGGCCCGCTACTCCCTGAGCGAGGACAAGCTCATCCGGCAGCAGATCGAGTACAAGACGCTGGTGAGGAGGCTCGGGGGGCGGCTCGTGCACCCTCTGCTTCTGACGCGCGTCCTACCTCCTGACCTCAAAGGCAGTCTGGGGGGCCAGTAAAGAGGCTGGGCCATGCATGGTCTGGGGCGAGCCCTAAGGGCATCCCGAGTGTGCAAACGGCAAGGCTGGCACAGCTGGGCTGCCCCTCCCCTATCTCATCTGGTGAGCCCTGAGAGCTCTCTGTGCCTCAGTTTACCCTTGACAATATTGGGGGAGAAAAAAACGTCACCCATCATTAGATGTGGGGTGATCATTTATAGCATTATAGGAAAGATGTATGCGGATTCCTATAAGGAGGCTTTGGGGAGGTGTGAGGCTGGCCCTGGACACATCTAGAACCATCTCTAGACTCCCTGGAGTGCCTCCTGTCTCCCCGAAGCCATGCAGGAGCTAGGAAGTAGAGTCCTGGTTCTCTGAGGAAGGGGAGGTGGACGCAGTGACTCGGGCTCTCACTCGGCAGGCTGCAGGAGGATGGGGGAAACAGAGGCACAGAGCAGAGAAGCATCTCTGTTTCTTCTGCAAGGAGGGTGGACCTTGGGAAAAGAAGATTCCGAGGCCCCAACCCTCCTCCCCGAACTGCTCCTTCAACTCCCGCCCTGCTCACCCTCTGTCCCCCACCTGCAGATCCTGAACTGCGTCAACCCCGACAACGAGAACAGTCCGGAGATCCCAGTGAAGGTGCTGAACTGTGACACCATCACGCAGGTCAAGGAGAAGATCCTCGATGCCGTGTATAAGAACGTGCCCTACTCCCAGCGGCCGAGGGCTGTTGACATGGACTTGGGTAGGACGCTGGCCTCGGGCTGTGAGGGCGAGGGGGGTACAAGCCGCTTTCTGGGCAGCGTTCAGGTCAGGTCATGGGAGGGGTGGGGAGAGGGGAGTCCTGCCGTGCACCTGGCTCCCCTGGAGGTGTGACTGGGCCCTGGCCAGGTGAGGGCCACGTGCAATGCTTCCTCTTTGAGGCACTGCCTGCTCAGGTGTGGCTGTCACCAGGGAGTGCCCCACGTCTCCCCTGGAGCCCTGGATGTCTCTAAGCTCTGGGGGAGCCAAGCTGGCCAGGCCCCCAGGGGAGGCACGATTGCAGGCGGGACCCTGGCTCTCGGCCGCCACACCACTCACGCTGCCACCTGCCCCACCCCCCTCTCCACCCAGAGTGGCGCCAAGGCCGGATCGCCAGGGTCGTGCTGCAAGACGAGGACATCACCACCAAGATCGAGGGGGACTGGAAGCGGCTCAACACGCTGATGCATTACCAGGTGGCCTGCCCTGCTGCACGTTCCTCTTCCTCTAAGCCTCGTCTAAGGCCCGGAAAGCCTGAAAGGGGTTTCCTCTCTCCCCTTCCTGCTCCTCCCCAAGCCTCCGGCAGTGATTCTCACACATGGCTGCCCACTGGGGGTAACTGGGGGAACTTATGAAAAATGATGGGTGCCCAGATTCCACCCTCAGAAATGGATTTAAGGGTCTGGGGTAAGAGCCAGGCGTCGTCCCTATCCTGTGTAGCTCTACGTGTCTGCAGAAAAAAATTGCACATTGCAAAGTCCCCCACGTGGACCCAGACCGTTAGGTGCTAACCGTTTCCCTCTTCGGCGTGTCACCAACGCAGCTCACACTTCTGCCGTGCCGTGCGGCCGGGAATTGGTTAGACTCGTCTAGGCGTCCTCTATCCTGCCACTCGGTAGCAAGCGTCCTTGGGAAGATTATTATTTCTGAAGCTGTCTTTCTTCCCACCCGTAAAACGGGGCTCACCTCGAACCCTGCCCCTCACCGTCGCCCGGCGTAGATTAGATGTAGCCGGGGAAGCGCTCAGCACCCCGGCAGGCGCGCTGAATGAGCAGGCAGGAAACCCCAGCGCAAGAACACTCGGTGGAGGGGTGTCCGCTCTCGCCTCCCCTTCCCTCCATGGTAACCACGCACAGCGGGGGGTCTCGGTAAGATTAAGCACAGGTAGACAGGTTGGGACTCAGGAAAAATACTAAAATAGAAACTGGAAATGAGAGACACCGAGGGAAATTAAACCAACCAGAGGAAGCGCCTGAGGCTGCAGGACCCATGGGACTGTCTGATTAATAATAGCCTCCCCTGTCCCCGGCTCGGAAAGGGAGGGGTGCAGGGGGCTGGCGGGCCGGGCTCTCAAGCACCGAGCTGCCAGCCGCCAGCCGCCAGCCGCTAGCCGCTGGGAGGCCCTGCAGCGAGCTGGGGCCATCCAGGGGCGCAGAGGAAGCTGGGGGCCCTGGGGATCCCCCGAAATGCTCTTCCTCAAGGCCCCGTTGCCCTCGCTGGCCTGCACCCCCCCCCCCGTGCCGACACCCCGCCTGGACCCCTGCCCCAGACAGCACGGGTGTGGTGTAGCGGGAAGAGAAAAGGCTTCGGAAGCCATATGTAAACCCACGCTTCCCCACTCGCGGGAGGTACAACTTTAATCTCTTTGAACCTCGGACTCCTCATCTGTCAAATGGACACAACAACCCTGACTTGTAAAGGGGTGAGGCACCAGGGCTGTGACCTTATGCACAGGTAGCTGCAAGCAGCCCCTGTTAATTCTGTGCACACACCCCCACCACCCCCACCACTAATTCACGTGGTGCTTAATGCACCAATAGAACAATCGTAATGGTCTAATTAGAGGTGTATGAGGAAGAGCAAAAAGAGAACAGCATCATGCTCCCAAATTATAGGTTTCAAAAGGGCAGGAGTGGGGCCTTTCTTCTTCTGTCCCTGCTGCCCTCATGCCCGTTACTGAGCTGGCCAGCCATGCTGCGGCTCCCAACCAGAAGAGTGGAATATTCTGTTCTTTTGGTGCTCATCATACAAAGCACTTTCAATTCCCTGATGTCATTTATCATTCATGTATGCGCTGGTTCCTCAAATATTTACTGAGCTTTTACTGAGTGCAAGGCACTTCCCACACCTAGCCCTGAGTGACAAGGGACAGCAGGGAGTATTCCTACCTTCGGGAGACGGTGGTGACGAGGGTGTTTGTAATAGCAACGCTCATGCCAGCGCTCACCGAGTGGCAGGCGCCGTTCTCAGCCATCGTGTGTCCTAACTCCTTTAAACCTAGACATGATTATTATCCCCACTGACAACTGAGGCACAGAGGGGTCAAGCCATGTAGCTGGCAAGTGGCAAAGCCAAGGTGAGGCCCAGCCAGGCACCTTGACCGCAGACTTGTGCTGCCTGCTGGTTAAGAGAGAGGAAAGCCAAGGCCAAAAGGTTTAGTGACCAGACCTGGAATCGAGTTGAACTGCGGGCATTGGAGTCACCTTGGGGATCTTCTTTTAGGTGATAAGAAACCATAAATGGTAACGTCATCTGTTCTCCGTGAGAGTGTAAACCTCTGCCCCTGCCAAGCTTTCAGAGTATCATTTCTGGGCTGTCAGTTGCAAGGAGAATTCCTGAAAGACAGAGGTAGAGCATCTACCCACCGTCTTGGTGCTGATGGTGCAAACTGCTGACAAGTCCAGGAAGCTGCTCCAGCCGGGAAGTAACGGAGTTTCAGCCTCTTCCAGGCACAAGGACTTTGCACCATCAAGAGCAAGCCTTGTCCTCCTGTTACCCTCCCTGGAGTCAAAGGTCCTTGGAGCCCCTACAGAAGAAAATCTGCATAATCTTAATTAACAAAGAGATGTTCAAAAACTTCCCGGGCTCCTGCAGATTTATAGGGAGGGTAAAATTAAACACCACCACTAAAACCCGCTATCAGGGAATCTCGTTAGCACTAATGTTCATTTATAGTTTGACTTCCCAACATTTAATTCTTTTTCGGTGGGAGAGAAGGACTGACAATTTAAGACCCAGAAAGATGGTTTTATGACTGGTGCAGCTATAAATCAAACTTATAAAGTTCATAAAAATTGTTAAAATAAAAAATGGTTTAATAGGAATGTTTTATGGCCCATAACATTATTATAGCTGTTTTATTCCCTCTGCGTTAGGGGTTTAATTGGATCGCCACAATTCTGGGGATTCTCTGTTTTTATTGGATAGAGGGTAATCTTAAATCAAAATGGCCCCAAATGTCTTCAATATGGCTCCTTATTTATCATCCTTTTCCCTACAGGCTGGGTGCTGAGCCCGGGCACCCTCGCAGGGGATAGGACAGAGACCATCTCTCTCTCTGATGCCCCAAGGGTGGCTGCCCCTTTGGCAGAACTCTTCAAAGTGGCTCAGGCATTATAGGACGCAGGCTGGGGAGAAATCAGAGCCAAAAGGGTGAATGGGCTTTGGACCAGTGTGGCTTGAAATAAAATCCCAAATTAGGATATCTAATGAGGAGAACATGTGCTCTGGAGCCTGCCAGACCTGGCTGCTACAAACACCGGCTCTACCCCAATGTGTTAATTATGTGACCTTGAAGATGGTCACTTAGCGTCTCTATGCTTCCATTTCTTCATCTGTAAAACAGGAATAATTGTACGTAACTCACGGCTCATCGCGCCCAGTGCTGTGCAGCAGAAATACAATGCAAGCCACACTTGCAAGCCACGTGTGTCATTTAAAAATTTTTACTAGCCACTTAAAAAGTAAAAATAAACAGCTTAATTAATGTTAACGATGTATTTTATGTAATCCAATCATCATAGAATAATTATCATTTGACTCTGTAATAAATATAAAAATGACTAAGATAGGTTATATCCTTTTATTCATACTAAGTCATTGAAAGCAAATGTATATTGTCCATTTATAGTACACCTCGGTTCGGAGACAGCGTTCTTTTCAGTTTGGACTGGCTACATTTCCAGTGCTCAGGAGCCATGTTGAGCTACCATATTGGGCGGGACATCTCTAGCCCAACAAAACCTCGAGAAACCCATAGTAATGGTCATTTCTAGTGTTCTTGAACTCCTTGCTGTCTACCCCACGCCTATTTTATAACCCGCTGGAAGTTCTTGACCATTCGACTTCCCAAGACACCTCCATTCACCCATGCTGTGTGCTTGTTGTGCCTCTCTCAGGTGTCAGACAGGTCCGTGGTGGCTCTGGTCCCCAAACAGACGTCTTCCTACAACATCCCTGCCTCTGCCAGCATCTCCCGGACGTCCATCAGCAGATACGGTGAGGACCAGCGAGGCGGTCTGAGCCCCCCAGGGCCTGGCTCTCGACCCCTTCTGACAGCAGGGAGCACCTGCTGCGGCCTGGCCTGGCCTCCATTCGGCGGCTCTTGCTCGTGTGTTTCCTTTCCCCCCTGCTCCAGTCACTCCCAGAGCAGCCTGTGTCCACAGCTGTGGCAGCAGGTGGCACCAGGGACTTCCTTTGACATCCCCGGCCCAGCAAAGGAGTCAGACTGGCCCAGACCAGGGAGGCACTGACATGGGGGTTAATATATATCCCAGTCCCAGTTTGTGCCTGTTGTCCTGGCTGCATTATTAACAGCGACCTCTTTTACTCTCAGATGTGTCCCAGCTTAGACAATGAATCACTCGTCCTCACCCTTCTGCCTCTGTGGGGTAGTGGGGCCCCTGTGCCCTCTGGCAGTGAGGTTATGGCACTTCAGTCTCTGTGGCTCTGTTCTCGCTGGTTTCTTGTGTGTACGAAGCTTCCCAGCCGCAGGGCACCACGGGACTGAGCTCAGCAGCTATGCAAAGGACTTAGGGTACTGGGTACTCCACGTCCTAGGCCCCAGGAAAGAAGGGACAAGAGGAGCATTACAACCTGCAGCACTTTAGCATCCAGATTTTTATTAAAGCACCATTGAAAGTGTCCCGTTGTCATTTTACCTGCTACGTGTTCGTTGCTGGGAGCATCGGAGAAAAGGGAACTCCCAAATTCCCTAGGGTCCCTCTCTCCAGCTCCCAGAATTTCTAAATCCTTTTGTAAAAAAAAAGACCTCAGGCTCCTCTGTCCTCATGCCAGCCAAGGATCCCTAAAATAACCCACCAAATATGAGGTCCCAAGAGTCCCCTTCCACCGGAAATGAGTTTATTCTGAGTGGACGCAGGGGGCGCAGGGACTCTGGAAGGGGTCCTGCAAGCCGGCAGCTCACAGCCCCCACCGCCCCTTGCCTAGACTCCTCCTTCAGGTACACGGGCAGCCCCGACAGCCTGCGGTCCCGGGCCCCCATGATCACCCCGGACCTCGAGAGTGGGGTGAAGGTGTGGCATCTGGTGAAGAACCACGACCACGGTGACCAGAAGGAGGGCGACCGGGGCAGCAAGATGGTGTCGGAGATCTACCTGACCCGGCTACTGGCCACCAAGGTAACTCCTGCTCTGCCCACGCCAGGGAGGGCTCCTCGGAGGGGTATGTCCTGCCCCACCTTAGTGTCGGTAGTGTGTCCTTCAAGGGGACCCATTCAGATGAACTGGAGGCCAGGTCCCTCCCGGGCAGGGTTTCCAGGGGGTCAGGCCACTGCTGCTCTCCATGCTTTGGCAAAAATAGCAAACATATCGTTACCTTCTACCCACTACTCGAGATGACCCATATGCTTCGGAGGAGCGGCTGTCTCCTCTGGGCCCCCTGAACACTTGGGGAGATATCAGGGTTTCCTGCTGGTGTTAGCTGGGCAGATATGCAACCTCCACCGCCATTGCATGTTCTACCCACTTCTTGGGCGCTATGGGAAGGAAAGCAGAAAGGCCTGGTCCTGCCGGTAATCCGAGGGAAGGCTCCCTCTCCCCCGTCCCGGCCCATCCAACGGCCCCCGAATGTTGGTGGAAGTGAGGCAACATCTTCTAGCCTTCCTACGAGAACAAGACATGCCTGTAAGTAAGGCAATCGCTCAGCCCATGGTTTCCAGGCCGGGCTGGATTTCAGGTCTCTCCCCCACTAACCCTGCGTCACTGCTGCTGGAGTTCTAACACGGCGGCATCCAACCCACAGCTCTCAGACTTGCGCCCAGAAACGGAGCAAGAAGCGTCCACTTTAGCTTTGCCTACTAATATGCTCAGCATACCAGGAAGAGAGCAACAGAGAGGCACCAGAAAGGGCTAGGGGTTTTACTGACCCTTAGAGGTGTGACATGAGCCTGTGAAGTGTGGGACCTGGGCCCAGTCTTGTCCCTTCCCCAGAGACCCTCCAAGGCCCTGTGGGCCAGGCCTGTGCCTGGGGGTTCTTCTGTAGACCCTTCCCCTGCAGCCTGCACTCCAGACCCCACTTGTGCCGGGACACGGATGCCCTAAGGCTCTCCGAGCCTCCCTCTAAGACCCTCCTCGGTCCTGCCGTGCTCCTGCCAGGTGGCACCCGGCCTTCCGGCTTGCTCCTGGGACACCCTCTCCAGACTGGCCTGCCAGCCCCTGTGCTCTCATCCACCCAAAGCCCTTCCTGTCTTCCTGTCACAGGCCCAGAGGCGTGGACGCGAGCATAAACGTGGCATGTGGCTGCGGGTTGGGGGAGGGCTTCTGCCCCAGGATCCAGGGTCCGCTCCGTTTCTCCCACCTCCCCGCTTGCCGACAGTGCTCTTCCCCGCCCCCGCCACACCGCTCGCACAGCCTCGTGTCCCAGATGGATTTCCAAGGCAGGCTGGGTCCAAGGCACCATCTGGGGTGCCCGTCTGCTGCTGCCCGCGTCGCCCGCCCTCTGTCTCACTCTCCCCGCCCCCCTCTCCCAGGGCACCCTGCAGAAGTTCGTGGACGACTTGTTCGAGACCCTGTTCAGCACTGTGCACCGCGGCAGCGCGCTCCCCCTGGCCATCAAGTACATGTTCGATTTCCTGGATGAGCAGGCAGACAGGCACAGCATCCACGACACAGATGTGCGGCACACCTGGAAAAGCAACTGGTAAGCCCTCGGGGGGGGGGGGTGCTCAGCGGGAGATGTAGCCCGGAGAGGCCGGGGACTGTGGGGGCTGGGGACCAGCCCGAGACCCTGGGAGATGGCAGGGCAGCCTGTTCTCAGCTGGGGCTTGGAGATCCGAGGAGCTGCTAGAGCAAACAGCGCACATATGCTCTGCAGAGCCCACGTGGGCCACAGGCTGCCTGCGCCAAGTGGGGCCCGCCTGGCGTGAGGCCTGGCGCCAGGATGCGTGCTTGAGCCCTGCCCCTTCAGGCTGTGACCATGCCCCAGGAAGAGTCTCTCCTCCCCTGACTCGGAGACCCCTGGTTCTCAGGAGAAGAGAGCTGCATTTGAGACCTGCAAAGAGCTGCATTTGAGACCTGCAGCAGAGCTTCAGAGCCAGGCGTCGTGGGGCGTTCTGAGTGAGGCAGAATCCAAGGCGCTTCCTGAGACGGGGAAGTCCTGAATTAAACTTATCCCCCTGCTAAGGCTGGCCAGCCCTGGGGACGGAGCTCGCAGCTGCTGCAGGACTATGGGGATTTCGTTGCCAACTTGATCTCTTAAGGCCAAGTGATTACCCCAGCGCCATAGCTTTCAGGAAGCAGTGGCCAGAATGTCCCGCAAGAGTGACTCTCTTCCATGAAGTCACCACCCCATCCAGACCAGCAGCGGGAGAAGAAGCTCCCGTGGGCCCCTGGCGTGAGGCTTTTCCCTCCCGGGTTTTGAACCTGGACCGCAGACCAAGCTGAAGACTGGCTTGCAGGTCAGACGGGGCCTGGCCGAGAGCCGAAGTCAGAAGGCTTCCTTTGGGAAAGAGCTCGGAGAAGGGAGAGGGAGGTCCAGGCATTTGGCTTGGGCAGGCAGCCCACACAGCTGTCTGGAGTCAGCGGTCTCCTCAGAAAACAGAGCCGGCACAGATGGGCACAGGCTGTTATTTGGGAATCAAAAGTCCTAGCAACCAACAAAACACTTTGGAAAAGGCCAGCCCCGTATCGGTCCTCAGGGCTGTGGTCACCGAGCCCTCCTGAGTCTGCAGCTTTGATCACAGCGAGTGAGACGGGGAGGCCAGGGGTGGCCCGGGGTGAGGCGCCCGCAGTGCACCGTGCCAGGGCCGGCCTCCCATCTACACCCCCGGGGCGGGGGCGGGCTTGTCCCCTTTGCTTTGGAGCATGCCCAGCCCAGCGCCGGGAGCGGGCAAATTTCGGGGAAATGGAGAGAAAGTTCCAGGTTATTCCCATCTGTGCACCTTCTTTGTGCTGGCCAGACAGGAGTGATGGAAACACACTTTGCTGGCGCTGGGTGGGGAGCGAGTCTCCCTGTCGGGGCCTCAAAGAGCAAATGCCCGAGGAAAGACTGTGAGCAGCCCCCCAGAGCTGCAGAGGAGGGGGGGCACGAGAGATGGGTGAGCGCAGCTCCTCCCAGGTTGCAGGAAAGAGAGTGAGAGGTGGATCCCATTGCACTTTGGACGGCAGGCGGGAAGCCTAGCGGCAGGGCTTGGAGTGGGCCGAGGGGATCTTCCAGACCCAGCGCCACAGCGACACTTGGGAACGCTCGGGGGTTTGCGTGTTTTGTCGAGAAGATGAGGAAGGGGAAAGGAGGGGTGAGTGGAAAGCAGGAACGGTCATCGCAGGCTGGAAGGCCAAGCTGGCGGGCAGGGCTCGCTCCACGGAGGAGTCCAAAGAGTTAAGGCCCAGGACGCAGCTGGGAGAGCAGGGGAAGCTGGAGAAGGAGTGAGAACAGCCGCTGCTGTTCTGGTTTTGAAGGCGAGAGAAGGGGCTTATCCACCTTATGGCCCCAGGAGCAGAGAAAATGCATTCTCCTCCGCTCACAAATTCCCGAGTTGCAGGAGGAAGTCTCCTGACTACTGACCGCTTCCTCTCGGGGTGGGAAAAACTGGCCAGCGAGTCATTCCCAGGGTACCAACAATGGCCCCCTCCTCTCCCTCTGCCCCGTGGCAGAGACAAGAACGCCCCGGGGAGAGCCGTGAAAGAAAGAACCGGCCCCAGGGGAGCCCATTCCTCTGGCCAGCCCAGGCCGGGCCAGCCCTGGGAAGGGGCCCTGCCGCAGGGCTGGGCGGGGAGCGCAGGTGGGGCCCTTTGTGCCCGCTCTGAGGCTGCGCCCAGGGCTGCCGGCTGCGTCCTTCCTTCCGGACAATGGCCACCACGGCGCTGGGAAGGGACTCGGGGAGCCTGGTGGCTTTGTGTGAGGCCCTGAGAAACTGTGCTGGCCCCTGCACTTGGGCTCCCCTGGGGGCACGGAGGGCTTTAGAAAAGTCTGCAGAGGACGGAATGCGCCCACGCCCACCGGGCGCTGGTTAGAGACGGGGGCAGTGTCCCGCCAGGGGACAGCGTGCCTCTGCTTCCCCCCCAGGTCAGAAACAGCTGGGGTCACATGGGCCGGGCCCCTTTTGTACGGTGTGATTCCCTTGCCCCTTCGGGTGGGCAGTGTGAGGTTCGGGGGTGACGGGAGGAGCACAGCGCACTGCGTGAGGGTGCGGGCGACGAGCCTGCTCGAGTGCCCCCCGACTTTCCCCGCAGCCTCCCTCTGCGCTTCTGGGTGAACGTGATCAAGAACCCCCAGTTTGTATTCGACATCCACAAGGGCAGCATCACGGACGCCTGCCTCTCCGTGGTGGCCCAGACCTTCATGGACTCCTGCTCCACGTCGGAGCACCGGCTGGGCAAGGACTCCCCCTCCAACAAGCTGCTGTACGCCAAGGACATCCCCAGCTACAAGAGCTGGGTGGAGAGGTCAGCAGCACCCCAAGGACAGGCCAGTGTCCCTGTCTCCCTGCCCACCCCTCCCCCGCCCTGCAGGTGACACTGACCGAGGACTCAGACCAGGTTTGGGGTCTTCAGGACCGCATGCTCCCCTCCGTCTTCCTTGCCCTCACTCCCTGTTGTGGGGACAAAGGGTGGCTTTGTGCTCTTGGAAGTCAGATGACTGTCATCCTAATTACCATATTTAGCATGTACTAAGCAGCCAGCACTCTGATAAAGAATTGTATCAGCCAGGCAGGGCGGCTCACGCCTGTAATTCTAGCACTCTCGGAGGCCGAGGCGGGAGGATTGCTTGAGGCCGAGCAAGAGGGAGACTCCTGTCTCTACTAGAAATAGAAAAATCAGCCAGGTTTGGTGGCACGCACCTGTAGTCCCAGCTACTTGGGAGGCCGAGGTGGGAGGATCGCTGAGCCTGGGAGTTTGAGGTTGCAGTGAGCTATGATGACACCACTGCACTATAGGTAGCAGAGCCAGACCCTGTCTTAAAAAAAAAAGAAGATTTTGCATGTGTCATCTCATTAAAATGTCCAACCGAGTTGTACAGCAGGTGTGGCTATAATCCACATTTTACAGATGAGGAAACTGCCGCACAGAGAGGTCAAGTAACTTGCCCGGTGTCACGCAGCTAGCAGGTAGCAGAGCTGGGATTTGAACACACGGAGCAAGGCCAGACTCTGGGCTTGTGACCACTCTGCTGGGCGCAGCAGTCAGAGGCTCTCAGCTAGATGGGGTCCCCCAAAGAAACTCTCAACCTCCGCTTGCAGCAGGAGGTCAGGGGGAGCCAGGTCAGAAGAGAACCAGGGAGGCAGGAGCAACCGGGGCCACGGCGGGCGCAGGCAAATGTTTGCCGAGTCCCCCCACCAAGGAGGCACTGTCCTGTCCGTGGCAGATACTACGCAGACATCGCCAAGCTCCCGGCCATCAGTGACCAGGACATGAACGCCTACCTCGCCGAGCAGTCCCGCCTGCACGCCGTGGAGTTCAACATGCTGAGCGCCCTCAACGAGATCTACTCCTACGTCAGCAAGTACAGCGAGGAGGTAAGACGGGTCCCTCCTCCCTCCGCATGCCAAGAGCAAGGCAGCCAGACAGGAAGCCTGACCCAGTCCTCGAATAACAATGCACAGCAACTTAGAAGGCACATTTGTGGAGTCAAAAGCCCGTGAGCTCGGAAAGCATCAGCATGCCTTTATGAGGCAGCCCCACCTCTCCTGAGTCACTGGACCCCTTCTTGCACTTTTCATTGTCTTTCGCTCATTGTGCGCCCAGTAAATAACACTTTTAATAATTTGTTTTTCAGTTCAGAGTGTTGTACGACGGATTTCATTTTTTTAATTTTTTTTATTAAACAATGAATCCAACTCTTCTTTGCCCTTGGGCAGATCCCGTCGGTCACATTTCAGATAGGCAGGTGGTCCTCAACGCTGATAGGGGTTGGCACGGGGACAGCTTCGGAAAGGTCACACGTCATGCATTAGCGCGAGGCACCGGACAGTAGGGACAGTGGTAGCAATGGTTGACACTTGCATGGCACTTCCCATGTGCCAGGTATTGTGTTAGACACTTAGGCTATATACATACATGTACACGTGTGTGTGTGCGTGTATATGTATTCATTTAATTAATCATCTCAGTTATCCAAGGTTGTGTTCCTTAAGGCAGGGTGGGAAGGCAGACGGAAGGGTGAGTGGGGCAGGACTCCGGGAGATGACGCCTTCTGTCCTGAGCCCTGAAGTCTCCCCCTCACCTGTGTCTCTGTCCCTCAGCTCATCGGGGCCCTGGAGCAGGACGAGCAGGCGCGGCGACAGCGGCTGGCGTACAAGGTGGAGCAGCTCATCCACGCCATGTCCCTGGAGAGCTGAGAGCAGCCTCGCCTCTCTGGGTGGAGGGACCCACCCAAGCGGTCGCGCGGGGAGTCTCGGAAGCGAGGACTAGCGAAGGGGATGAGGCCCCAGAGCTTGCTGCTGCCCCGAGCCCCCAACCTGGGGAGAGGGGAGGGCCCCTCTCCCTCCGCCAGCCAAGTTTCGTCACAGCCAGTCCCTGCCGGGAGAGCCCGTGGGCGCCACCCGTCCCCCGCCACAGGGACAGGGGCGGCGGGCGAGCGCCGGGCCAGGAGGAGGCGGCTCTTCGGGCTGAGAGGCACGTGGGCACGGCCCTGCCTCCGTGACTGCTGCTTTGCATGAAACTCATTTGATGTATATTGGGGGGAAATAATGAGAACTTTATTTAATTTTTTTTAAGAAAAAGGAAAAGAAAAAAACAGAAATAAAACAAAAAAGCCACCCTGTTCATCCCGTCCAACTTCTGTTTAATTCTGATTTCTGTCTCCCCGCCTTCTCTCCCCACCCCCGCCTCCTCCCTCGTCCAACTCCTGTCCCCAAAGGCCAGAAAAACCCTACAAAGAGGTGCTGAGGGAAGTTGCAGGGAGAACAATTGTCTCGTTTTCCTTGAAATTAAAAAAAGAGAGAAAGAGAGGGAGGGGACAAAGAAGAGCAGAAGAAGAATGAGCACAAGTTCCCACCAAACTCTTCGCAAAAAATCAAGGCCAGTGAAACCGGATCCCTGCCATGGCCGGAAGAGCGAGGAACCGCAGAACTTTGCCCCGTCCGCACCTGGCTGCCGGGAACCTGAGCTGTACACACCCCACACCTGTATGTTCTCCCCTCTCGGGAGGAGACACATACCTGGATAGCACCGATGCTTTTGGCTACTGTGCTTTGTTTGCTTTATTTCATCCCAAACCTCAACCAAGGAGGAGCTGGTCTTTGGTACTTTTCCTTTTGGTTTCCCCAAAGCTACTCTCAGAAGCAGGGTGAGGTGGGCCTCTCCCGGACCAGACACCTGGCCCCCCTGAGGACACTGGGCCGCCGCGCCCCGCATCCGCCCCTGTCATAAACGAGGCCTCCTGGAGAAACGGTCTGAGGCCATTGGAGGCCGGGCCTCCGGGAGGTACCCTTTTGGGAGCTGATTTAGGAACAGGGGTGTTTGGCTTTGCATTCCACTCCAATCTTCCAGTGAGTGGTTTCTGGCCACAACAAAGGAAACAAAACTCAGACACTGTTTACAACAAGCAATACTTGAAGAGCATGGGTTAAAGAAGCCTCGGTATTTATTATTACGCTTTCTTGCTTTCATTCTCTCGTGCCTGGAGAGGGGAGACAGCCCTTCGCCCGTGCATGGAAGCTCCTGACCGCCTGGGCCTACGGCACTCCCCCAGGAGCGGCGGCTGCGGCAGGTCTCGCCCGACGCCTCTCCTGGACTTGCGGGTTGGAACGACAAGAGGACGGCTTCTCACTGCACCCCTTTCCTGCTCGCTCTCTGTCCGCTAATGACACCGAAAACCACGGCCGGCCAGCTCTCCTGAGTGTAGCTGCCCGACAGGGACACCAGAGCCCCACGCGAAGGTCCAGAGGCCCCACGGAAACCAGTGGGAGTCACCCAGAGGGAAAGCGCTCTGTCGGCAGGAGGACCTCGATGACCGGGACGGCGTGAGAGTGCCCAGGACACCCGTGCTGGCACAGATCCAAGCGGCGTAGGCGTTGGGGTAGGAGGACAAGAGAAAGGAGAGGAAGTCGGGAGGGGGGGGGCAGGAGAGGAATCACCTCCCCTTCCCACTTTCCAAGGGGTGGGGAATCCCAGGCTGTCATGCTGGGAAGCTGGACCGGCTTCCCCAAGAGACACTGGACCAGGGGCATTTCCTCTGCAACTCACTCTGGGCCCCAGCTCCTCCGTGCCCGGCTTCACCCCAAGCGAGTCCGACTTCCAAAGGCTCTGCTGACCACATGCGATTCCCAGGCAAGGGCTGGGGGCAGCAGCGCGAGGGCTGCCTCCCATCCTGGGCGTGTGGCTTTGGATTCACTGTCTTAACCACACAGCAGACGTCGCCTGGTCTCCTCAGCTCCAGTTTCCTGCCTGAATGCAGCTGACAAATGGGAATAGAAAAGCATTCAGCAGAATACTCAGGAAACGTGCTGTTTTCATTATTATTCACAACCAGCCATGCCAAGGCCACTTTCTTCTGATAATCCACTTCTGTGAAAGTTTCTCGGGTCCTATTAATAGCCTGAAAGACATACTAATGACTGGCCTTCCGCACTGAGCCAAAGTGTTTGCTCAGCCTCGCACCCAAAGCTTATCAGCGCCCAGCGCCCATCCTTCATGGAGATGAAAGGGGAGGAGATACGGGCAGAGAAGGACGTGAGCAGGAGACTTCGTGCTACTGTGAAAAATTCCAGCCCACCCCATCTCACTCCCGAGCTCTGTCTGAGTGAAGGTTTTCTCATCACTCTGCCACTGAGACACGCTACACCTGCAAGTAAAAGGAAGTCAGGCATCTCCGCACGCCTGCACCAGCCTTACCTGTGCATCTGCTTGGCGTCTCCCAGCAGCTACGTTTGGGGATCCTTCACCGCCCCTGGGGCGCTTCCCTGAAGGTTTCTGGAGAGCGTGGAGAAGGACGGGGGACGGCCAATTGAGGGGCGAAGAGGGAAGCGCCCAAGCTGGCTGTGAGTGGGCTGGCCACAGTTCTCAGGATTGCATGACAGAGCTGGGGAACTCGGGCTGGCAAAGGAAGTGGCACACAGGGGCACCCTTAAGGAAAGAATTAAGAAAAAAGGAAAGCTCTGCTGGACTCAGGCCAGGCAGGCCATGAGGGTGAAAGGTCGCAGAGCCCCGGGCCCCTCTCCAGCTTCCCACCTGTCCCTCTTGCACACTTCTTGGCTTTGGGCCACCCAGAACCAATGGAATCCGCACTCTGTGGAATGGGGAGGAGAGGGAGTGTGTCTTCTCCCCATTATCCAATCTGAGAATATTTTGACCTTGTGTAAGGAAGAAGGATTAAAGCCACAGCCCCTCCCCGCAGGAAGCTGTCTGTCTTGCGGGGAGGCAGAGAGGGAAGTCTCTCTCCAAAGTCAGCTTTGCTTCGTTTCGTGGATCTGCACGAGAGTGACAATGGTCTGGAGAAGGACAAGGACCCCGGAGAGTGCTTGGCAAGACAGAGGTTGCTAACATACAGGATGGAGACCAAGTCCCTGCAGCTGGATTCTGCTGCTGCCTCCTGCCCTCGGCGTGGGGTTGGGTGCTTCTGTGTCTGCTGTCCTACCTCTCTCCACGGCGAGACGGCTCTCAAAACCATCTCCCATCCATCCACACTGGCAGGGAGCTCCCCTCCTCGCAGAGCACGGTCATTAGGAGCTTGGATCAGCTGTTGCGCTCACTGGAGGAGGCAACAATTTCCTGCATTCATTCATTAGGGGAATCTTCTTGGGCAGCCACTATCTAGGTGTGGGGAAAACAGCAATGGCGAAGACCAAGAAGATCCTTCTAGCTAATTGGTATTCTTCAGGCTGCCAAATTCCTGCCACCAACTTCCCAGGCTCAGTTCTCCTCCCCTCCTGGGAGAACCTGGCAGAGGACACCAGTTTTGTAGGGGAGGGGGCCCGGCCGGCGAAGTGGACCCACCCAGCTGCCTTACCTTCTCCTGGGGACGTCCCCCCAGCAGAGAGAGAGCCGCTCCTGTCTCCCGTCGCCGCCGTCCCTCTGGGCGGCACTTTGCCTGCTGCTCGAGCTCCCGACCTTCCTGCAATTCCACCAAATGAGGACAAGACATAGCAGTTAGCCCCCTGGCCCCGCTGAGCGAGGAGCAGAAGCAAGGAGTTTGCTAGACAAAACATGGTCTGGGCAGAACAAACAGGGAATGTCTGGAAGCCTCCGGCTGATCAATCTCCAGGTGCGTGCCAGCCGCCACACCTGCCCCCACCAACCTGCTGCCCATAAATACGGAGCCAGCAGCTGCTCTGGGGAGGCTGTGCATTGCCAGCCACACTGTGTCATGCCAGCGACTCCCGGGGCTGGACACAGACAGGAAAGAATTGAGCCTCAGTGGGACTCCGTGGGTGAGGAAATGCCAAGTGGTCTCATAGATGAAGTTCAGGGCCTTCTGAAGCCTTGTCTCAGGAACGTGCTTTGAGGATGTGCTGGCAACCTTTCCACAACTCACAGTCTCCCTGCCCTGTCCCCTCCTTCTCCCAGTGTCCCCAAAGTATGACGTTTTAGCACGTGGGGCTCGGCGCTCCCTGCAAATGAAGGATAGAGTTGCACCCTTGGTATTCCCAAGCAGTACTAGGGAAAGTCCTGGGAGACAGTCACCAGGGCTTGTCGGGCAGAGCCTTAGCCCAGCGAGCAAACTGGAGAGGGTCCTCAGCCTTTCGTGGACACCCGCGTCTCCTCCTCCTCCCCAGCCCTCCCTGCGGACTGAGCTGTCCCCACCGCAGGGCAGCGGGCTCCCTCCTGCCCCAGCCTCAAGGAAGGCGGGGCACCTTCTGGATTTCAGCCACAAGCCTCGCCTTGACTTTGTCTGCCCTCCACACTGGCATCAAAGGCGGAGGGCGTAACGGAACACGGTCCCCGGCAAACAGAGCAGACGTCCTCGGGTGTGTAGGGGAAGAGGGGACAAGCTCTATGTACCGTGAGACGAGGGGCCTGAGCCCACCTGCCTTTCCCCCCAACTTCTCCTACTCAAACCCACTCCTCTCGACACACTGGAATCTGTATTATATATATTTTTAAGAAAATACAATGATGGTTGTCTGGTTTTCCTTGTTTTTACAGGTGTTGTGGAATAAGAGCTGTAAGAAAAATTAAGTATTTAAAATGTTCCAATAAAAAAAAAAACGGGATTTTTTTTGTTATTCTAATATATTACTGTGTACCTATTGTAAATATGAAACACGCCTATTTTGCAAGCCAAGGACACAATTTGTACTGTTGTTATATATAAATAAAGTTTACTGAATAAAAAAAAAAAAACAACTTTAAGCCTCCAAACAACCCTGATTGTTTAGCAATATATGCGCAGAATAACATTTCATGGGCGTATTTAAGAATGGTACTCCTGGACAGATGAGCTAAGTTGTTTTAAGTTGTTTTGAGGAGGTTCTAGAATTCTCTCTGGAACCAGAGCATATTAATGTCTGGTCATCATCATCATCATCACACACACACACACACACACACACACACACACACACACACACACGCTGTTCCAGCTTATACCAGCAGGTGAACACTGCCCCCTAGCTCCAAGACCCCAGAATACAGCTTTCCTCCACTGGAGGCTGCCCGTGTAGACTCTGCAGGTTGAGGACCCTGGGGGGGGGGGGGGGGGTGAAGTGAGGTCTCAGAAGAATAAGGAGATCCACTCCCAGCCCTTGCTGAGAAGTACATGCGTTCGTTTGGACAGAGCATGTATAAAGCATGGCCTGGCACTGCGGTAAGTGCTGGGGAACAAAACAATAATCGAGAAAGGCACCATCCTTGTCCTCGTGGATGTTTCGGTGTGGTGAAAATCCTAAGGATTCTGAAAAAGGAATGTGGCAGCCGTGCATTGGGAAGGGTTTCTATTGTTGCTTCTCTTTTATTTTCAGTGGGGGGATTAAAGGTAAATCAAGGGAAAGATGCCAGATAGCATGTGCTTCTAGACCCAGCACAGGCAAGAGACAAGAGAGAAGCTCCAGGCTAAGGGAGGAAAGTAGTTGTGCTGACTTGGGGTGCAGAGGCAGGAGAAATGTCACGATCCTGCGATGAGGCCTAGATGCGGGGAATTGAACGTAGGACTCCCAAGCCTTGGACTCCCTCTAACCTGAGGATGCCACGCCCCCTGCCCTCTTCTGCGCTTCCATCCTTCTGTGTTTCCTTCTGGTATTCCAGAGTGCTTGGGTGATGCTTCTGCTCCCTGACTGCTAAGAGGAATAGACGAGAATAACTCAAGAGCCCACCCATCTGACATCTGAACTGAGCATGCAAGAAGACTGCCATTCGCTCTCTTCATGGTGATGGCGCCAGGACAGTTTTCTGGGTCTTCCGCCCTGCACCAGGCACTAGCAGTAGAGCCTCCTGAAGCATGAGGGGCAGCACCTGCCCTCAGGGGGCCTCCAGTCTGACACGGGAGACACGGATCCTTCTCTCAAGGCCACCCAAGTCTAACAGGGAAGGCCAACATCCATATAACAACGGGGCCTGGGGCTTGTAAAACAAAAAGCATGTAAACAAGTGCATGTTAATAAACACAGTGTGTGCTTACAGCTTCAAAGAGAAATTCTTGGGAAGATTTTTCAGTCCCTGCTTAGCAACCTCTGGGTCGATGGTGTTTGTGTGTCCCTCTTCTGCACCCGGTACATTCGTACACACACACACACACACACACACACACACACACTCCCTTCCCAGAGAGAGGGGAGAGATGCAAATGCTCCTCCTGAGGGTGAGAAAAATGCAAACACAACACCAAGAGGAGCCAGGAGGAACGAGGAAGAGTGCAGTGCTGTGGCCTTCGTGTAATTAGTACATTGTTTTCAACAGCACGGTGGGCCAGGGAAGTACACTGGAGAGTTGTTATTTTTTCTCCCGACCATCTTCCACTTCTCTTTGAAATGCAAACCTAGAACCCTGCAGGCACTACATGGCACCAGTGCAAAAGGTGTGCTTTCTCAGCAAAAGCAATAATATGGCCCTGGTGAGCTCTAGAGTGGGATGGGGCAATTATTAATAGATGAAACCTGCTTCTGTCACTGCCTGTCTGGGCCCCTGGCATCACAAGAGGCTGAGTGAAAGAAAACTTGGACAGAGGAGGCCATTTCTCTGTTTGGAATCCTTGTGCTGCTGAGTTCTGTCCGGTCTTCTTGCTGCTCCCCATGTCTCCCCTCAGCAACTGAGATTTGGGGTATCCCTACCCTATCATTAAATACCTTCGGCCGAAACTACCAATGTCCAGGAAGGAGGACACGGAATCAGAGGGAAGCTACGAGGTACCTGGTCTGTGTTTTTCACTGCCATAATCCTGGGACAGAGCACAGTCTCTGGCCCACAGCAGATGGTCAAGTAAGTATATTCCAATAGAATAAATGATCGAATGGATGGGACTTGTGAACCACCTACCAAATTCCAGGCACTGGAACATCCTTTCTTTTAGACTTCTCAGTCTCATACGATGGGAGTGCTCCACTTGGTCAGTCTGAGGTTCAGAGAGGCTAAGGGACTTTCTTAAGACCACACAATTACTACGCAGTAGAGCTAGGGAGGTCTGACTCCAAAGTTCATATTGCATGCTTTCTCCACTGCACACTGTCATTAGCTCTAGAACGATTTAATACTTGGAAGCCCCCACCAGAAATGGATCCTTCCTCTTGTAACAAGCAGATGCTATGGGCACACTCTTCAGCCTTCATTAATATTCATATTGGTTCAGCACAATCCGTGTCTATTCATCACTTGCTATGGGCACGACACCAGACTAGGCACTATTAGGCATATATAGAGGGGGAAAAAAACTAAGTCCCAAATGTACAGCTTTCCCAGAGTTTATAATCTAACGTCAACACCAAATCATCATTCTATGAGAAAAAGACTTATCCCTTTTCTTAGTAGGAATTATACATCATTCTTACTGCAAGTGCAAAATAATTTTGCCAGACTGCGTCAATAGGATTCTCAGAGATCTGAGCTCCTCCATTTGAGGGCAAAGCCTGCGTTATGAGCCAGTGGAGAGAACAGAGGGAGGTGGGTGCTGTGGGTGATCTGTGCTTGATCACGTCGGCACCACGAGCTGTCACTCGTCTCTGCCCAGCGAGTCAACTGAAAGACAAGAGAGACTCCCACCTGTTTTGCGTTGGCTGCTGGAAGATTAGAGCCAAATGCGCAGCCCACCAATAGCACATGTGCAACACTTTCTGCTGCGTGTTATTATGCTCATCCTATTCCCGGCTTTGCTTTCTGTGCCTGCCTCATTTGTCTTTATTCTTCACTCGCTATTCCTTTCTAATTGCTAAGTTTCATGTATCCCCGGCTAAGAACACAAGCCCTGGATTCATACTGTCTTGGGTTGAATTCCATCCTCTGAGCCGTGTGGTCTGGGCCAAGTTACATAACCTCTCGGTGCATCAGTTTTCAAATCCATAAAATGAGGATTATACTATAGATCAAGTAAGGTTTTTGTAGGGGTTAAATAAGAGAATATATGTCATGGACTCAGTAAGTATTACAATAGGTAAATGAAGGGGAGAAAGAATCCTTCTTTTATAAAAATCCTTCTCTTACAGGCAGTCTGGCAGGAGCTACAGGCAGGAAGAGATGAGGGTCTCCATCTGACTGTGGGAAGAAGCTTAATTAATACACGTAAGTTTCAAAGTCAAAAGTTGGTGCCTGAGAGTGAAGCCCCTAGAAAGGAGACCAGGCATGGTCGCTGACCTAGAAAACTAGGAGATGAATCTTTCACCCATTGGCAGAACTAGATCTGACTCAGCCAATAAACATGTTCCAGGTTAATGGAAATTAGCAAAGAGAAGTGCATCAAGCCAAATTTCCACGTGCTAGGGCCACAGAAGGGCCCAGGTGGTTTGCAAAGTCAATTGATGGCCTCCTGAAAGTCAGGTCAAGGGTTGTCCAAAAAGTGTTTGGGGCCGAGTAGGAAAGATGCTCCTTCACCCAGAGCGCCGGGGGCAGGTCTAGCCCACAGATCTGGGATGAAGGCAACAGAGAGGAGCAGATAGGCTGGAGGCAGAGAGCACAGAGCCTAGAAGGGCCTATTCCCAGCAAGAAGCCAGGGCAGCCGAGTAGGAAAGGGAACAGCACACTCGCCACACCTGGGAGGGGTGCTCACCTGCCTCCACTCAGGGAGGAGTCTGGGCACCTCCATCCCCAGCTGGTTTGGGATGAGCATCTTAGGGTTTCCCAGAGAAACAAAACCAAGAAACCAATAAAATACGTGTGTGGGTGCGGAGAGAGAAAAATGTTAAGGAACTGGCTCCCAAAATTGTGGGGACTGGCAAGTCTGAAATCTGTAGGCCAGTCTGGCTGGCTGAAAATTCCAGCAAGAGTCGATGTTGCCATCTTGAGCCCCAAAGGCAGTCTGGACGCAGAATTTCTTCTTCTCTGGGGAACGTTAGCCTTTGCTCCGAAGGCCTCCAGCTGTTGGATGGGGCTCACCTTCATCACGGAGGGTCACCAGCTTCACTCAAAGTCTACAGATCGTAAATGGGAATCACACCTGAAAAATACGTTCGCGGCACTATCCAGAGTGGTGTTTGACCAAGCAACTGGGCCCCAGAGCCTAGCCGAGTTGACACGTGCAATTAACCATCACAGGGAGGAAAAGACAAGTCAATGTGCTCATCAAACACTGAAACCAAAGCTAAGCCCATGTGATTTGTAAAGCCATCGCCTTTGATGCTTTCTTATCTGGTTTCTTTCGCCCTTAGTAGAGAATGCTTTTGAAAGATCCCAGCCATTATTGGCGCACCAAAGAAGAAAAGGAACAGACATCAACGGGGTGCGGAGGTCCTTCCAGGGGGCAGGGAGGGTTCTGGCTTCCAGATCAGGGAAGTGGGCGGCTCTCAGACACATCCTGGGGAATAACTGGGAGTGGGAGAACCCGAAAGCCATCCTCCATCTGGCCTTTCTCCTGAACTCATCCATGTCTGCATTACCCTCGCTTATTTATAAGAAACCCACCCAAGAAGCACACACCAGAAACTGGTTAAAAAAAAAAAAAAAAACCAAAAGCATATGTTTGGTTATTTGATCTCCAAGAATCACGCAGTCTTCCGATCTTCCTGCTCCACCTCCCCAGCCTTGTCTCTCTCTGGTCTCCCACCTTCTCTGGGCTCCATTTCCCAGTCCCTGCATGCCATCACAGGTGCTCCCACTTCGAGGACGCACTGTAGAAAAGCTCCCCTGGAATTCTCCTTTAGCCACGGTCATTATCGTCATCCTCTGGCACGCCGCAGCGTTGCAAAGTGCCCCAGCCCCATGGGAGA